TCGGAACAATTTGCATTTAGCGGGACTCAGCTTCAGATTGGCTTCTTTCAGTTTCTGAAGCACCTTTCTAAGATTTTCTAGATGTTCTTCAAAACTCTTTCCGACGATGATGATATCGTCCAGGTATATCAGACAGGCTTCGTAGGAAAGGCCTTTCAAAACAGTCTCCATTAGACGTTCGAATGTTGCCGGCGCATTACACAGTCCAAACGGCATCACCTTGAATTGCCAAAGCCCTTGTAGTAAATGCCGTCTTTTCTCGGTCATCAGGATGTATTTCTACCTGCCAATACCCACTCTTTAAATCAAGTGTTGAGAACCACTTGCTTCCAGAAAGAGTGTCCAGAATGTCGTCAATTCTAGGAAGAGGGTAACTGTCTTTCTTCGTAACCTCATTCAACCGGCGATAGTCAACGCAAAATCTTGTTGAGCCGTCTTTCTTTCTGACAAGGAACGATGGGAGATGCCCATGGACTTGCTGAAGGCTCGATGACATCGCCTTCTTCCATATCCTTTAAAGTGTTCGCACCTCTTCCTGTTTAGCAAACGGTAGACGTCTTGGATGTTGCTTGATCGGGGGATGATCGCCGGTATCGATTCTATGTTAGGTTAAACTAGTTCGACCCACGTCAGAAGACGAGCGGGAGAAAACTACTTGAAGATCTTTAATGACGCGATCGGCAGCATTCTTCTCTTCATCGTTTAATTGTGCATTCTGCAATAACTCCGATGTAATGCTCTCTGAGGACACGGATTCTGGGATGTTACTCTTTCTTTCAACGCTGGTTACTGGAGTACATGTTGCAACCACTTCACCTTTCTTAATAACTCTCGCCTTCTCAGTTACATTGGTGACTCTCACCGGAATAACCGTTCTGGATAGGTCGACGAGTGTTGAGGCTACTAGTACTCCTTTCGGGCTATTACAGCTATTGGGATATTCTATGATGCCGTAGCGGAAATTTCTGTTTTCGGCTATGGATCCAGGAAGTAAAATTTCTGTTCTTGCCGGTATTGTGATATTGTCATGTGCTATGATTTTATGGACAGATTTAACTTCTTCATCATTAACTTCAAATAACGCTATGTCCTCAGATGTAGAATGCAATTCGTTATTTTTAAAGTCCAAGGAAAAATTGTATTTCCTTAGAAAGTCCAATCCGAGTATGCAAGAATCAGTGATCTCTGCTACATATACCGTGTGATGGTAAGCGGCACTTCCAAACGTGATGTTAACATTTACTTTTCCGTCGATGTCGATCTTCTCACCGGACACAGTCTGGAGGGTAACGCAGGGCGGCGTCCAGATAAGTTTGTTTCCCAGTTGTTGAGCCAAATCTTTTCGGATGATGGTAACGTTGGCTCCTGTATCTATAGTCATATTGCAGGGAACTCCATTAATATGTCCTATTATGAAAAGTCCATTACTGCCGCCTCTCACTGCAGAAATCTGAAGCGCTTTAAACTGGGGCTTTTCATTATCTGGCAACCTCCGCCCCGCGAGATGGCCACTAATTAGTTTCCCTGCTGTTTGTTAGGAGCGGTCTTAACATCCGTACTGTAGGGAATTCTGCAGTTTCGTCGTATGTGTCCTTCAGCACCGCAGTTCCAACAATTTAAGGTCGGTTTCTTTTCACTGATATTTCTTCTCAAGGCGTTCAGTTGTCTGGTTAAATCATCTAGACGAGCAGGTGACTTGATCCCTGGCTTCCTGGACTTGAGCAGCTCTGATTGGGTGGCGGTCTCTACGAGTTGCTTGCTGGGCTGCCTCAAACTTCATAGCGTACACTAAAGCGCTTTTCAAATCCTTAGCATCCGCCATTCGCAGAGCTTTCTGTATTTCAGGGTCCCGGATGCCATCGATGAAAGTATTGCAGGGACAGGATTTCCCTTGTTTCTGTCGGGCACTCCGAAAAGGCGAGGTGTGGACAGCCTTTCAAGACATCCGTGGCGAGCTCCTGAAGTGTTTCGGTGAGCTTCTGTTGACGGGATTTTAATTGGAAGCCTGCTGTAGTCTTTTAAACATTTCTCCCCGAAAGCGCAGCTCCAAGGCGCCGGACAGAGCTTCGAAATCTAACCTTTGTTTTCGGGAAGAGTCTGAAGGATATCCGCTGCGTCGGCTCTTAAAGAAGCGGCGAGATGACAGACAGCCTTAGCTTGGGAATCCCATCCATTCGCATCCGCCACGATAGAAAATTGTGTTTATACACCTGCCAGGAGGTCTTCCCATCATATGTCGATAGCTTCAGAGAGGGACGAGCAGGCATGGGTAGAAATTTTAAACCATCCGAAGTGAAGTGCTTCCTGCCGTCGCTACGAATTTCTTTAAAGTGTCAACTTCTTTGGCGACGGCAGCAGAAATTCTGTCTTCAATTTGTGTTCAATTGTCCTTGGACGGCAAAAACTCTGTCTTCAATTTGTTGTTCAATATGTCCTTGGACGGCAGAAACTCTTTCTTCAATTTGTTGTTGGAAGGCCGAAACTCTTCCTTTGACTCGTTGCTCCACAGCCGACACTCTATCTTCTATTTCATCTTTGACAGACGAAACCTTTTCTTCAATTTGCCCGACTTTATTTTCGACAGCTCCTATTCTGTCTTCCCTAGCATCAAATTTACTTTCTGTTACGCAGATTATTTCTCTTTTCATTTCGTCTTGGCCTGCTTCAATCTTTTCTTGTACAGCTTTTATGTCTTCTTTAAAAGTTACTTGACCAGCTTCCAACTTTTCGTGAACGGCTTCCATTTCCTTTTTAATGGATCTCGTCTCTCCTTTAACGGAATCTTGGCCCAATTTCATTTCTTCTTTAACGGATTCCTGGCCCAATTTCATTTCTTCCTTAACGGATTCCTGGCCCAATTTCATTTCCTCTTTAATTTCTTCTTTAGATGAGGCAAAGGCTGATATTAACTGCCTTAATTGCTCTTCCATGGCTCTTGCTATTGGCATTCAAACCCCACTCCTGACACCAAAAATTGTTGCGTGCGTACGATTTCGTTACGAAATGAATGCACAAGTCCGATGAAAAATGAACCAAAATTTATTATTATCACTACAAAAATGCTTAAATTTTCTCAAATTATCATGCAGTATTACAATATCTCACAGTAGTTTTCTTTTAACTACTCAAATGTCCAATAGAACGTAATTCAAAACAGCTAAAGAACGCTAATCCGCGAATTCGCTACAATCAACAAGAGCAATTTTCTAAACAACAACAAAGTAAGCAACTACTACAAACTGAGATGTTTTTCTCCTTTTATAAGGTTTTAAAATCACGCGCTAGAATTTTCCAGTACTTTCTCGAAATCAAAAAAAGATATTTATTTATTTAATGCACGCGCTCTTGTATTTTCAATTTTCCGGCTTAGCTTTCTTTTAATATTCGTCACGCGCTGCACTGCGCGAGAAATAAAACCATTTAATTGAACTAACATTAGCTTTATAAATACCAAATTCGTAACAGTATTCTATTTGTTTGCCAGTCACATATCTCTAAACGCCTCGGTCATAATGAGATACATTCCGCAAGAGAAGAAGAGGAAGAATGATCTTACTTGTTTGCATTAGCTTGTACATAAGCCACGTGATCTCTGAGGTCATCTGCACAGGCAATCCGACCCATAATTCTATATGCCGCTCCGCCGTGGGCAGCTACTGCGCGTTCATACCGAGCAAGGCTTCAAAGTTTTCAGAGTAAAACTCTCAGATTCCTCTCGAACTCTCCGTGGTTCGTTAGGAACACTGTCATCCATAATTCTCTAAAGATTTTACCATTAGATGCTGAATTACTAAAGATTACATTCAAATTCTACGAAAAATGTGATTCCTCCACTCACGAAGTTATTAAAAACATAGGGGAGTACGACTATCTAATCGAACAGCCGCATAAACGGCCCAGAACTATACATCATAATGTTAGATGTTAGTTCTTGTATATATTTTAGCCCGGCTCCGGTTTTCAACTATTTAATCTAGATTTTGTTTCATCTTTATCATCCTTTTCATCTTACTAATGTACGATACTGTGTCAAATATACGATAATGTGTAAAAGATATGCCAAAATTATGCCTGAGTTCTAATTGCTATTATAGCTTATCCAACGAAGACTTCATCTGTGGCCGATATAAGTCGCCACCCCTGATCAACTTCTTCACTACTGAAGACTTTGCACTTTTATTACAAGTGCACAGGACTTTTCCAGTTTATGGAATTTACCGAACTTTTACAGGTCCTTAGGGGATTGATAAACATGTAGTGGTAAAGGCCCTCGGGTCGAACACCACTTAACGAATGATGATCTCCGATCTCCAAAAGGTATACATAAGTCACGTGATCAACGAGGTCATCGGAATGTATCTCATTAGAATTATTTGGTGTCATCATCTGCAAAATTATTACAACATATACCTACATAAATGAATAAATGCAAAATAAAAAGCAGTGTGAGCTTCTTCCAACAATAAATGGTGGTAATAATGCAAAATAAATTTAATTACTATACCTAAAATCTATCTCATACTCAGTTCGGAACAAACCATATACAAAAATTAAATACCAGAAGTACGGCGTAAAATTGTAAAATTGCATGAAAGGTTCAAAAATTGTTAAAACCAAAAAAGAAACAATAATTTACTTCTTTTGTTGCATTGGTATCAGGGGGTTGAAAGAAGGAAATACATTAGACTGTTTCTGAACTAACAAAGGCACAAATGAAAAATTAAAGTTTAATATTTAAAAATAATCTCAGAAAATTAATCAAAGTAATCTGTGTCTTTGTTAGCAATTCAACCCCTACAAGGCCGAAGTCTATATACATACAATACTCTTTTTTTCTTAAATCCGGGATCTGACTTCCTTCTGTAACCCAGCTTTTTTATGGAAAATTTCTAAAGTATTTTAGTACTTTTCGTATTAAATACCGGCAAAAGTTAACCGTTATTAACTTAGCGTTATTTGAAACTTGAATCCGAAACCAGCAGAAAGAAACAACTCAGACAGACTAATTGATGGTTCCCAATCGCTTAGTACGATAATTAGACTAGCGTTTTACAACTAAATAACTGTATATATACATATATTCTTTTAATCTGCCGATTATTAAGGTACCAGTAGATTACATTCATGTCATGTAATATAAAAGCATAATTATACCAGCAAATTTGATGGAAAGTTTGAAGTAAATACACAAATGACGGAACAAAAGATTTCTGAAAGATGCAAATCTAGTCATATTCTGCTCTTTAATTCTTCGTCTCGCGAAGATGAATTAGAAGCTGGACTATGCAATTTACTTTGCCAGATAATATGGAATCGAAGAATCAATCGTCTTCCGCAACATCAAATGAAGACCAAACACAAGAGGATAAAGCGGAGTTTGTTGATGCTCCCAGTGATCGTGAATCATCAATTGAGTCTTTTCATACCAATAAATCTGAACTTTCGATTCCAACTGAGACCGAACTTATAGACGTTGACGACATAGAGCTTTCTGATGAAGAATCGTGGTAATAATCGTAATTATTTATGATAGGAATAGATCACATGTTTTATTTGCAATGGCTTTGAATCATATTTTCTAATACGAAGAGAACGATAATCTGTTTCTCTAGATTGCGGAAATGTCATCACAGGATTTTAGAGCGTTATCTGAAAAATGCCGTTTTCAGTTTTTCCTTTGTGCATGATATTTTGTACAGTGTGTAATTCATAAAGTCCCATGTAATCTGTTATCCTGTTTCAGGTGAAACATTAGAAATATAAATTAAAGTAAATTCGATATTGAGTAGCAGATTTATGCCACATTACTAAACTTCACTACTGGCCAGCCTTCAAACCTGAGCTATTGATCTACTGCCTTAATGAAATTATTTTATATTATCTGTGCACTTGTAAACTGTGATATCACCCCCTGCAACTCAGCTCCTGAAAAAGCTGAGCAACCCTGCCATATAACATTTATTCTTACATATTGTAATAATCAGTACAGAAATTTGGTATTTTATTAATTTAGGCAAAATATACAATAGCTATTGGCTTAAGGGGAGAAATACCTTAGTAAAGGGCATTTTTAAATGAATTGGCTGACATGCACTATATGTCTGAAAAAATTCTGGCAACCTATCAGATTACCTGTCTGACCTATTTTCAGATATCACTGTTCTGTGTCTTTATCTAGTGAAACATTAGTGGGCCTGATGTTCATGTGTAAAAACTATGCATAAGGTTAACATTTAAAGTTAGCTTTGCATAAAACAGCATATGGTAACTGTGTAAAGAATTTTCCTATTGTATTTGTAAAATGAAGGTTTGGCTTAATTAGTCAGTCATTAATTAAGCTATTGAGTTTTCAGAACGAAACTCTGTTGCTAAAAGTTTTCTCAGAGTCAGAGATCCATATCGTTTTCCAAAATAATAACTGTTGTCAAATTGAATGATTATCAGAAGTCTTTCCATATTTACTGAAGTGTATATACCATTGTGAGATTAAAATATTCGAAAAACTTTTTTCATAGTCCGAATTGTGTGTTGATACTTTTCTGTATTTGGATGGTGATAAAGAAGATTTAGCAAATATTCTACCTTGTATAATTTCGGAAGATCGAATCATGCAATTAACTTTTGAAATTAAATCTCGCAACTTCCATTTTTCCTAGACATACTGTAATAAATTTGATCTCAATATTCCTGTTTTTTGTAAACGTTTTTGGTACTTTTTTATTATTGGGATCGGATTCAGAAATGTATATACGCTTGCATGTATAGATACATGTATACATACATACATTTCTGAATCAGATTCTGATAACAGAAAACACCTTTTCTGTTTATTTTTTTCCCCCACTGAATCGTATCATTTTGCTCTTTAAAAAATGGCTTCTTTTTATTTTTATATTTATTTTGACCTCAGGATTTATTCCTTGGAATCTTTTTATACTGATAAATCTCTAGTAATAGTAAAAGGCTTTTAAGGGGTGTTGGAACCCCGAAATCGTCAAACAGTTGTAATTTCGGATTTTTGCATTTTCAAATTCTCTACACTTTTATCTTTCTAAAAATACCATTCCTTAATCTCTATGAAAATTAGAACTGTAAAAAAATCTAGTTTTAATTTGTCATCTACTGCTTGTTGATCATGATGGATTTTTACATAAAAACGCGTTTTTCTCCAAACGTGATTTTTTTATACTCAATGTCCTTTTCTCAGGAACTTCTGCTCACAGGTTCTTAAACTTTTTATGGCTTATTTATTATGTTCCCTAATATTTACTGAAATGAGCTTTTTGTAATAAACTTAGAAAAAAAAATTTTTTAAATTTTTTTTTGTGTGAGAAAAGTGCTAAATTTTACTATGCCTAACAAAATATTCTGTAATTTACTCTAAAATTCAAAATACTTCAAAAGCTCATTTCAGTATAATCAGATAGGTATACTTTAAGTACAGAAAAAATTTCAAGCTTGTATCTACAGCAGATTTTGAGAAAAGGTACATCAAAAATGGCCAATTTAACATTGTCGGTATAGGGCTTTCTGATACCCCTTAAATTTTTTCTCTTTTGCCACCTGTTAGAATTAACTAATTGCCATTTATCCTGTTAGAATTAACAATAGTCTTCTTGCTTTGACCCTATTTTATTTTTTTTCATTTACAATTTTCACAGCCCCCCCCCCCAATCTATCAATAAAATTCCTGATTCAGTTCTTAAAAGCATTATCTCTGATTTTAATTTCTGTAGAATTTGTAATACTTCTTAGTATTATTTAATGCATACTAGTATTAAGTAAATGCTAAAAGAATATAAAAGCAGAATGTTGATCTTTTGTTCAAAAAGGAATAGTGAATAAAACTCCAATAGCTAATTTTAGCTGGTCACTTAATGGAAGCTTTGATTTTGGTTCTGCTAAAATTAACTGCATAATTTAGTTGATGAACTGGAGCTTTTCTAATTTCCAAAAATTTAACTTTAATTCCAATGCAGTTTTTTTCTAATGCTTTCAAAATGGAACTGATGTATCTTCCATTTTTGATTAACTATTTTGCTCCATTCTTAAGCTTGCTATTCAAATTCTAGGATTAACTCATATACTCCTGAGCTTACTAGGATTTGTGCTTATGCATCTCAGTGCAAGAAGGCTACCAAAACTGCTCGTAGTATAAAACCGTATGTTGTATTTAGCTGCATATTCTAAGTATGCTTTTGACTTGTTTGCTATAATACATGCCTACAAACAGGGTTATTGTTAAATTGTTCACTACTTATTGCAAACTCTGTGAGAATTCTGCTACCCCTTTACTTTCTGACTCTTAAAATCCTTCCCCACCCCCCGGTGCAGCCAAACTGGCCCTGATTATGAACAAAAGGGCCATAGCTCCAACTTGTGTTAGTAAAATTATACAGCTACTATACCAAGAGTAAAACTAATATACTAAAAAAATATGCCATCTTCGTCAAGTGATTGCAAAAGGGATTGAGCATCAAATTCTAATCCACTGTTTTAATGTAATAATTTCAGAAAATTGCCATATCATATTATTTGAAACATCAAAAGAACCCTTTGTACTGTAAAATTACAAAACTCAAATTTTTATAGAGTAGAAATTAAGGTTGAACTTTGATAAGCCAAATGAAACAATCAAGGGGGGGGGAGAGTTCTGAAAGAGGAAAATCATCTTATTAAAAGTTAATACTATTAATTTCAAATTTTATTTTCATATTCAGTGTGACTTATCAAAAATGCCGAGTAATAGATGTTTTATTGCACCAGAAATCATAGCTGACTATAGTATTTTATTCAAGAATATATGCTTTATTTAGTAATGTGGTATATCTGTATACTTCTACTTTGAAATACACCCAACTTGGTATGTGTCCTGTTTGAAATACGTGTGGTCGATGAGGATGAGTCAAGACTGTGTCCACTACATTCGTTTACCTCTTTTGAGATAATGCTAACAACTGCCTACGGGCATAAGTATGCTTGTTGCTACTAAAGCATCCTATACTGTAATTCTGAATTTTTATGTGATTTTGTATTTTTTTATGTAATTTTTTTTTTTTTTTTTTTGTAAATTCATTAACAATGAGTTTTAGGAAAGTTAATGAAAGGAGTCAAGTGATAAAGAAAATTATTAGATTGTTATTAGTCAGTTATTGTTATTATTGCATACAATCAAGTATATTAAATTGGTCAATGTGATATTAAATTGGCTGATAATATAAAGAGGATGAAACCAATTATCAAACAAAGATCAGAGACATTTAGAGCATGTTGAAAAATTACTTTTAATACAGATGACAGAAATACAGTCAAAACTCTTTAATGCGGACTCGTCGAGACTTTGGCGATTCCGGATTATCGATTTTTCCGGATTATAGATCATCAGTTTAAATCTGGTAAGATGGTATGCAGAAATTAAAAAATTAAAAATATGAAAACCGTAATTTATAAAATAATGAGACAATTATGATCTAAAGGGTATCAAAATTTACAAAAAAAAAGCTTAATATTTATTTGTTTACTTTATTAAACATTTCTTTCAACGCGCGCGCATGCGTACGTTACGCATAGCCGAAATTAGAAAATTGCAACCAGAAAACTATTTGATGTGTATTCGTGATATTTATAATGACGAGGAATTTGATTTAAATCATATAAAAGACGGAGTACATCAAGATTAAATACTACATTTAGTAAGGAATTATAAGCCGAATAAAATAAAAACATCTGCCAGTTTGAATCTTGATACAAGATGCGAATAGTGCTGACAGATCAACTTCCAGTTCATTGCGCGCCGCGACGTCCTCCCCCCCCCCCCGCGCAGAGCAGCATGAAATTGATAAACAGATTTCGAACAGTTAGATAAACAAAGGATATGCCTTTATCCATTTTTTGTAGCAATTCCACTTTTTGTTTGATGGACATCGAAACATACTTTCGTTTTCTAGATCCTTTGGGAGCTCCAGCATCGGAAATTCTATTTGACATAATCGAAAGTTCAAGCTTACTTTTATAAAATTGCTCTTACAGTCTGCAAAAAATAATATCCAATTCGAAGATTAAGGAACAACGCAATCATCAACATTAACTGAAATAGATAATTTTAGCTTATACTGTCCGTTATACATTAAACGCGCACGCAAAAACGTATTCTGCGCAGACGCATATGCGCAGTCGTAAATGTCTTGCGCGCACGCGTAAAACGCCTATGAGCCTGCGTCAATGTGGCGCATGCGCAGAAAGATTTTAGCTTTGAAGTCCGAATTAACGACTTTTGACTGTATTTGCAGTGCTTCATTTATATACTTGATGTATTTCTATCACTGTATTTGTATTTTAGTATTAAACTATGTTAAAATTCATTTGATTTACATTTAAGGAACGGGAACAGATTAATGATGTATACCAAACTGCCGCTATATTTCATATTGGGCCAAAAACAGTATTACTTGAAGTGGTGATTATTAATAATCCATTCTGAAGAAATGCATTTGATTTTAAATTTATATCCTAATTGAAGATCTCAGTTCAGACTAACATTTCAAACTATGCATCCAGTCCATTATAAAGCAGTTATTTCTACCCCTAACAAGAGCTAGATATTTATTCAACTATAATTAAGTACAGTTTCATACCAGACTAATTCAATAATTAATACGAATTGCATTTCATATTCATATTTTTAGTACAGTACAAAGTCCGCAATCAGGACTCGTCGGGACTTCGGCGATTTCGGATTAGTGGTTTTTCTGGTTATAGATCATCAATTTAAATCTGGTAAGATGCCATGCAGAAATTCTGCAATTAAAAATATAAAACCGTAATTTGAAATAAAGAGCAATTATGATCTAAAGAGTATCAAATTTTGCAAAAAAAAGCTTAATATTTATTTGTTTACTTTATTAAACATTTCTTTCAATCGGTGCATGCGTAAAGCATACATTACACGCATGCGTAAAGTTTGTGGCTTTGAGGTCCGGATTACAGACTTTGTACTGTATAATGCATCTAATGTGAAGTGGCATATAACTGTGCTTTAACCTTAATACAGTGTTAGCTCAGGAAATGCTGAATTCTGGATAATTTAACATATAAAGTACTCAATTCACTGAAGATATTTAGCAGTACTTTTATGAGGTACCTAAAATTATTACCTATCAAATTAATTTTAATATATTATATTTATTTAGGTTGTATAAATCACCAAAGAAACTCACTTCTGATGAGAAAGCACTTAGCACATACAAGTGGCTTCATAAAGATGTTGAAGAAATGGATAACGTGGAGCTGTATGTGACAAAAAATGCTCTTGTCAGCAAACTTAATCAATTAAAAATGCTTAGTAAGTGGTAATTGTTTATTACATCTTAAAACACCAGTCTTTTTTTATTATTGTTATTTTTCATTTTTATGATTTTGAATAATTATTGAGAAGCTAGAATTTTGATTAGACAGTATCATAAATTTGGAAATATCTTACTGAATTTTGGTATGTCACATTTAAATTTAATATAATTTCTATAATGAAGTTATGTTAACCTAACGAAATTTTTCTGTGAAAGCTATTAAACAAAATTTTAAAACACCTTTGGAAAAATCATTGCAATCTAAACAACTACCATATTGAATAAATATATAAAAATAGCCAACCATTTACAGAATTAATTAAGATTTTATGTATGATCAAAACTGAAGGAATCAGAAAAGTATTTCGAGTAGTAAAAAATTCCTGTTTATTGAAGAAGTATTAAATTCTGTTTTAATATTTTGGTATTGAATTGGACATATAAAAATTTTCAATTTATTGAAGTTCTACTGTAAATATTGTGTTAAGAATTAAGTGTTATTACTTCATATATTTTAAATTGTGAAATTAACTTCAGAATTGCAGCACAGCCTAAATGCTAGTTTACATAAAAAATTTTATAATTTTCATGAAGCTTCAATTGATTTTTATAAATCTTTCTTTAGGACATTCCTATAAAATAGATGAATTGCGGCAGAATGCTTTTAAAATAGTCTTTGAGTAATGATATTTGAAATTTTGATGTAATAGTTATATTCATTGCTTTATTAGTAAATAATTCATCTGGAATAGTTTTATCAGCGCTATGTTAGAATCTGATATTTCTGCTATGATATGTCTTATAAATAAAAGTTGTTCATTTACTGTCGATACTATAAAAAGATTCCCCCCCCCAATCCTTAGTTATAGTGAATTATAAGTTTTACGTGTAATCTTTTAGATGTTTTTTGACATTAGGAAGCTGAAGAAATATGTAATTGCCCCTGCCAGGATTCAAATTCCGGACCTCCTGAATATGCATCAAGCATGCTTCCAGTTACTCTATGAAGGCATGCAGAAAGAAGGAAGAAAATACCTTTATACTCCCCCTTTCAAAGGTGACTGGGGATTAAATGATTAATTCACCAACTCGTAGTGGTGATGAATTATCATATATCACCTTTTATATCAGGTGCCATTCGTAGAGTTTTTAGAATTTTTTTTTTATATCATGAAACTGAAGAAATATGCAATTGCCCTCACAGGGATTCAAACTCCAGATCTGCCAAATAATGTGTCGGACATGCTTGCAGTTACACTTGCAGAAAAAAAGGGAGAAAATTCTTCATAAGTGTGACATATAAATTATCCTGTTTTACAGAGTCTATATTTTTAAAGATTAATATTTTTTATAATTTTTTTCTTTTCTTATGTTGTAAATCTTTTAAATATCCTCAGTCTTCATAAAAATATTAAGTTAGATCAGTTAAAGATATCTTTAACAGAATATTTCTTTTTTCTTGTTTATTAGAGTTGTGAAATCCGCACGACTAATAATTTAGAGGTGGTTATTTTAGAGAGGTGGCTATGAAATACTTGGTGGTACTTCCTGACTATTCATATTCCCACTGAAAAGTTACAAACTCATTGCTGACTAAATTTTCATCAAGCTTATGTATGAAAAGCAATAGTTGTTTTCAAAATGGTAATGCATTAAGAATTCCATACAAGAGTAAACAATCAATAAAATTCAAAAAGCAAATAAACATCTGTAATAAAGCACTTATTTTTTTCGAGGCACTCTTATTTTTTGCACTGTTGTTCTGTCCATGTATACATACGCTGGCCAAAATAGACATCTGCTACATGCATTGCATTACCATATGAATACTTTTTGGTTACATCTCTGGTTGTCACATAAACTGTGAAAAATAAATAAATAATAGATTAATAGACTATGCAAAGTATCCCATAATGTTCAACAATTATGTACCCATATAATCAATGGATAATAAATTTTTTTGTTGAGCAGTAGCATTCCAATATACCTTAATTATATATTCTTTGTAACCTAATACAGTACAAAAGTCCGTAATGCGGACGTCCATTATCCGGAATGATCTATAATCCGGACTTCAAAGCCACAAACTTTTTTTTTAATAAGTTTCACGCATGCGCATTTAATGTGCGCTTCCGATAGTGAAGAAAGTGACAGAGAGGTTATTGAAAACGAAAAAATTTCGGTTCACAAGTTAGTTGGTATTCTCGACACAGCAATTACAGGACTTCGAACAGTAGAATTTTATAACTGAACAAGAAATTATGTCTGTTTATAGAATTAAAGAGAAAGTATTAGCACAAAAAACGAAGCAACTTAAACAACTTACATTGAAAGAAATGTTTAATAAAGTAAACAAATAAATATTAATTTTCTTTTTGTAAATTTTGATACCCTTTAGTTCATAATTGCTCTTTATATCATAAATTATGGTTTCATATTTTTAATTGTGTAATTTCTGCATGCCATCTTACCAGATTTAAATTGATGATCTATAATCCGGAAAAAACCCTAATCTGGAATACCCGAAGTCCCTACAAGCCCAGATTACAGATTTTGTACTGTATAAGGCTTGCTTCTAATTTAACTTATTTGCTTTTCATATTTTTACATTAGTGTAAATAATATAAATCTGTGATATATATATATATATATAGTGTGTACTTTTTAAGAAGCTCTTGGATTCATTTAGATTTATGGCATGTAAACTGGCCTGCAATGTCCAGCAAATATATAGGATGTAATCATTGATGGAAATTGTTTTGTAATTCATTGCTTAAATATAATAAGTACTTAATAACATAACATAATAACAGTTGTAATAGTAGCATAATAAGTATTGTGTTAGTTTCATCATTCTGCATGGAATTTTCTTCCCATGTAGCATGCAGCAAATCATTCATTTAATTTAAAAAAAAACTTTGTGATATCTGTCATATTATTTTGGGGATATTTTTCTTTTAGCTAGGCACAATTAATAAAGTATTAAATATTATTTCAATTGCTGTCACTGATATTACAGTCATTTCTCAAAATCAAAATTTCACAAGAGGAAGTATTGTGGAACAGTATGTTTTGACATGGAGTCTTACTAGGCTAAATTTGTGGGAGAAGAGAAAGAGATGATTTATTTCATTTTAAGTGATACGTATTATTCATTTAATGTGGATACGTATGTGTTTAAATTTTTCAACTTAGAGTGGTGTGGTGCATCATCACCAAAATAGATAAAATTCAGTTTTTAGCAACATTTGTGTCCAGCTAAAGGAGAAGTGCTATTTCTTATAGACTGATTGGTGCTAACTGTTGGAGTGTTAGGCCTGAGTTTATATCTCACAGAAAGCTTGGATGTTTGCAAGTCTGCAGCATATCTCTATAGTGCCTGTGTGCTGTGGATACACTTAAAATACTGATGATCTAGAAGTCTTTTTGAGAGGTTTAGTTGTAAGGAAATTGAGATGGAAGATCCTCAGAGCCATCTCCTAAGGTGTTTTTTCCCTAAGGTCTCCTAATCCTTTAATCCATCTCCTAAGGCAGGGATGGGCAAACTACGGCCCGCGGGCAAAACCCGGCCCGCCTGAAGATTCTATCCGGCCCGCCAATAGAATTTTAATTTGCCGGTCCGAGGCAAATTAAAAGAAATACATATTTATATATTATATATTCATCTCCGTTTCTACTTCTTTTAAATATTATTTTTTTCTTCTTTCCCAAAAGACTGATGATCTTTTTATTTTCTATATTTTTGTTCTACAAAACATAAATTGATGGAAATAGCAAGCACAGATGGCTTTCAATCGGAAAAGTGTTAAAAGCCGGAAGTTCTTTCTTAGTTATAGCTGTAGATTGGCGCCAACAAGCGTTATCGCTTTCTCGGGGAGCAGACATGTGGGAATCTAGTGTAGGTGAATTAGATTTCACATGTGGCAGACTGCGCATTTTAAGCTCCCGCCAGCGTCCTTTTCTTTTGGCGCGAGGTCTAATATTATTCATTGCGTATGGAAAGATTGCGGACATATAGCATCATTGTGAATAGTGGTGAAATTATTAAAAGTATAGCGTAGCTAGTGCTTGTTTGTGTTATTCGTAAAATATTTAAGCCCCGAAATGGCTACTAATAAACGTAAAGTTGATTCAGAGTGCAGTGCTTTTAATGATGAATGGACCTGGAAATATTTTTTACAGTTGTAAAAGATAAACCAGTGTGTCTCATGTGCAATGAAGCTGAAGCAGTCTTCAAGAAATATAACATTTCCCGTCATTTCACACCTAAACATAAGAATTCCAGTTATGAAGAATATGAAAGCAAACAAAATGCAGAAAGTCTTTGTAAAAAATTATTTGGCTGACAAAATATTTATAAGAAGATTAACAGTATCCAGATCGCAAGATTTCAGTGCCATTCAAACAGAAGTGGATATTTTTACCATACCTTTCAACATAAATTGTGAAGCAGTGTGTTCAGATTTGCAGCTTGAATTAATTGAATTGCAATCTAACAATCATCTCAAGCAGTTGTTTCTAAATATGCCAAAGTTAGAGTTTTACAAATCATTACGAACGTAAGTTTCCCAAATTTAATATCTCACGCCCAGAAATCATTTGTTATGTTTGCTTCATCTTATATATGTGGACAAGTGTTTCAAGTATAAACCTTGGAAAAGAATTATTTCAGAAGTAGACAGACTGATGAGCATTTAGCCTCGTTCCTTAGAATCAGTACATCTCACTTCGAAGCTCAATATAAGGAACTTTTAAAAATTAAATCGCAATTTCATTCATCTCATTAACATATTTAAATTGTAATACTTGTATATTGTTTTTAAAATTTTAGAAAAATTTATGTTGGACCGCCAAACTTTTTTTTATTGATTTGTGGCCCGCGACCGAAAAAGTTTACCCATCCCTGTCCTAAGGTATCTGTTGAGCTGTATAATTAATGTGATGTTGACTATACTTGTGAAGCCATTGGTAAGTTGTGGTCTCCCTCCTACTTCTTGTCCTGTCCTGTTGTGGGTAATGTGTCTTTCTCCCTTTTAAGTATAAGGTATTCATGTTTTGTATTTAACATGTGCATTATTTAAAAAAAAGTGTCATTATCCATATATCAGTTATTCAAAATGGGCTGTGATCTCAGTTCCAAGCTTAGTTAATTATTTTTCTATATAATTATATGTTTATGTATATGTATAATTTTTTTAATCGAGTATGTACTTCCTAATTTCCCCCCTTTTAAATTTTTTTGTTAAATTTTAATATTTTTGCTTTATTGTTAGATTTATTGTTATCTTTATTAACTAACAGAATTATTGTTTTAGATGCTGATGTAGAAAAAAGGTTAACCAAAGACAAAACAACTGCATCACATAATCAGATAAATGGTATGATTTTTAATCAGTGTATTATATTTATAGCAACTGTAAAATAATGTTGAAAACAAAATATTTTTTGTTGTATTGTAAAACAATCCAGAAATTAATACTTTCACAATCAAGTATGCACAGATTTTCACCATGTATGTCTTCTTACAAAATTATGTAAAATTTATCTTTAGGAATTTTTAGATAAAAAAGTGTGAAAAATATACATGTATAGTAAAAGGTTCTTTTATATGTGCAATAATTTTTCTAATGTTAATTTTTTTAAATACTTTATTTGTTATAAGTATTCTAATACAAGTATTATCAAACTATTTGCATACAAGTGAACAGAAAGAAGTGAACATCCGGGTCCTAGCTATATGTGTAATTAATAGAATTTGGAGTGGTTCTGACTTAGGTAATGGTAATTTATTTCTTGAACAGTGAGCATTTCTGGAGTTTAATAGTTTTAAGCATGCCTTTCACAGAAAAGAAGCTGCAGAAGACATGTTCTTAGAGTGAAAGCTAGCTTTAGAAAATCAAGTTTATGTTTTGTTTATGTTTCTGATGTTAAGTTAAGAATGGTGAAGTTACTTTAATACTCAGTCGAAAGACATTGTATCTGGTATTGGTTAATTAAATATTTTGATTAAACTTGATAAAAGATTTTCTTTCATTCCGTTTGCCATTATCTAAATGTGTGTCTCATTTGTATCATATGAGAATCACATGATGAACTCGTTTTGAAATGAGACATTTCAGAATGACTTATTGTAAATATTGTTACGCAATGTCAATGCGCGGTAAGACGGCTTCCCTACAAAGCAGCTTTAGGGTTGCCATAAAATGGCAAGATAAGGCAAGGTTGCCACATTTGGCTATATCCCATGGACGGATGGAGAACCTTCTGGAACGAATTCTTATCGGTTTAGCCCAAAATGTTCTCGAACACAAGCCGAAAACTATATAAACCGTGCTGGTCTGCAGTCAGTGTGTGTGCCTCACATAGAGTGCGAAAGAGTCAGTATCGAGTTAGTGTCTCATCTAGCGAATCAATCCCTGCGGAGTCGATCGAGTTGACAGCCGGGCAACGAGTGCCGAGTGGGTCGTCTTCGAGTACACAGAAGGAGTCTGTTAGTGTAGCGCAGTTGGTGCATCGTCGAAAGAGCATGTTGAGCTCCGGGAATGACTGAACCGAAGAGTCGGGAGCCGTGCTCTGTGTGTCGTCGAGTGCATCTTGAGTTGTAGCGTGGAGAGTATCGAGAGTATATGGAGTTCCGAGAACGACCGAGCAGTGTCGCAAGCTTTACTCTGGTGCTTTGCAGTGAAGCTGTCTCCACCATGATTGCCTGATAACCTGAAGGCTCTTATCGTGTCAGCGTGTTTATAGTAGTTCATTGACGACTGTAAAACGTGTTTTGGAGCTGTCCTGACAATACTGGCTAATAAAGTATGTTTCAATACTTCATCAAGTGTCGTAGTTATTCACTCCAAATCCACACGAACCCCGTACGAACTTGAAGGAAGAAAAACGTAACAATATTTTACTATTTTTGGAATAGAAATGGAAAATAATTAAATTGAAAGGGTCACTTTGAGGGTTGTTAAAACATTAAAGTTAAAATTTTAACTTATATTTCTACTTTTATCACATTATCTCTGTTATGAAAGACCCATTGCATGAAAGCATTAATAAATGTCATGCATGCATATGTAACATAAGTTTATAAATTTTGCAGTTAATTTAAAATAAGTTTACAGACATAAATTTTACAGTTATTGTGTTATTAATATCCTAGATTTATATTTATATCTTTGCGAACAGATAAAACAATTGCTGTAATTCCTGCGGTTGAAGTCACTACAAAAGCCAAAGATAACCATCTGAATCAGAAGCAGATAGTTAGTAGTATAAAACTTGAACAAGAGCCAAATAAAAACTCAGAAAATGTCTTAGATGTTATGGATGTGCATGAAATTGCTCGGCTGCAAGAAGAACGTATGTATAATAATAGAAACATAAATGTTCTGAAATATGCAATTTAATTTTGCTTATATTCTTATTTTTATTCTGAAATTTGAATTCTTTTTTTAACAGGGCTGAAGCAAAGCACATCTAGATTTCAAAGTCAAGCTGGTATATATCAATTTTACTATTCAGAACAAAACTGCTATTTTTTAACTTTAGTTTGGGAAAAAAAATATGTAGATATATTTGATGATATATTAATGGCTGTTTTATGATAGTATAAAGGTTATGGTAGAATTTATAATGTTAACAAGAAATGACTGATTTATTTTATTCTCAATTTTATTAAAGCTACTGTGTAAAATGAATAACAGTTTTATAATAACAATTATATTAACAATGAATTTTATATTAACAATGAATAACAATTAATTGGATTATGTGTGAAAATAGAGACTGGAAATTCTTCAAGTTCATGTTTTATCATCTTCATCTGTATGCCTTAACCACAGCCATGATGGGCATCGAAAGCTGTTGAGAGTTCTAGCCAGTATGACTGTGCTTAAAAAATATGACATATATATATATATTCTCTAAGGACATCATAAAATATATTTTAGGCCATATTTATATGGCTTTGCCTGTCAGAAGGTTAAGCATGCCTCAATAGATATATGTACTATCCATACAGTGAACATGTTTACCTCAGTTGTGAATAGGATTTGACTGTTGCAAATAGCAATTATATATAATTAAATATACTGATCAGTATCTCAAGATTATAATTTCATTAAATTCATTAGTGGCATACTAATGGCTAATATAACCATCATAAAAGAATTAAGAGCATAAAATTACTTTGAAATTAAAAATAAAATTCTATTTATGAAAAGGTTTCTGTACTAAAAAAATCACTATTTTAACTCTCCTAATGTTTCTCCCTTGGGTACTTCCTTATTACTGCAGCCTCCATTCTGTAAATGGTGCCAAGATTATCAATACATCAGCAATCTTCAAATGGCTGGCAATCTACAACAATAATTTATAGTATCCTTATGTGTAACTTATGTATAAACCACACATTATCATATGTTAACAAGTCACAATCAGATATGATTCTGTCATCATGAAAAGAGCTCTGGTTATTCCATGTGTTAAAGTATTTTCTTTAAAAAAATGTTCTTAAAATGTTTGATTTATTGAGAAGTGATGAAGATGCATTTTACCTCTCATTTAACTGCAGCATATCGATAAAAGCAGCAAGCGAAAAAGCAGCATATCGATGAAAGCATTTAGAGACACAACTTGAAAAGTTATACATGAAGGAAAGGCATACATCTTGACAATTGGTTCAATGGTTTTAGAATACTTTTTGTAACAGCACAGTGATTTATTTACTGTTGGTCAGAGGAAATGACGTTTATTAGACAAAGGTGAGAGAAGCAACTTAGCTTTACAAAACTACAATTATTGACTGGGATTGGAACAGTTTATGAGAGAGATATATTCTCTGTATCAATCTGACAACCAGCTAGATCTTGAAAAATTGTTGACATAAACAATATTGGGTTTTTACAGGGAAAAAACAAAGGCAACTTGGTTCTTCAGTTACACTGAGAAACTGGTCGGTTCTCTCTTGGTCAGGCTCCATGCAGAGAGGCAGCCTCACTCATTACAAAAACCATGACCATGTACAAGAGGGATTAACAGTTTTTTCAGACTGTTGGCAAACATATAAAACAAAGGAATGGTAACAGCAAGTAGGAGACATTTTACAGTTAACCGTAAATTTTGTTTTGTTAATCCAGAAACTGCTGTTCATACACAAAATGTTGAAAGACTGTGGTGCTCGGCTAAGTGGCATAATAAAAATTAACGAGGCACACTTTGTCATCATCATGAGTCTTACCTTGTGAGTTTTGTCACAAAAGGCCTTGGAACAAGAAAACTCTTCTGATGCTAGATTTAAAAGCAAATGCAGAAACATGATAGCCACAAAATGTATATGAGTCTTAAACATGAATCTGGAAATAATCCTAGCATCAACTTATTGTTTAAAAAATGGAAATTATAGTAATAATAATGTATGTTCTGTACTGACATTATTTTATTTGCATGTTGAAAAAAATTTAATAGTTTTATGTTCAGTGAATCTTGATTAAATAGCTCTTGAAGTATGAATGTATTTTAAAAGATTATTCATGGTTATATATAATCCAGATTTAATGTAAAAATTATAAAGGGAAACATGTAAACAAAACTGGGAAAGAACTTATAATCTGCAAAACTTATTACTTCGTATAAGCTCCAGCCACAAGTTGTGTGTATTATCATAATTCTGCTGTATGTGAAAAAAAATGGGTTTTAGTTATAAGTAGTACCTTTATGTAGGTTTGCATATTTACACTTTGCATATGTAAAATGTATCTGACACTAAGTTGAAAATATTGAGTTTATGATATAGAGTAGATTTTAAAATAAATATCTGCTATAGATATATGCAATTGTTTAAGTATTATTAAATTTAGAAACTATGCTGTTTACTGATGAAATCTTTTTATAGACATCTCAGGAAAGCATTTGCATCAAGATAGTAAGATGACTTCCAGTATATCTGTTCAAAATGTAGGACTTACAAAACCATCTTCTGTTGAAGGTGAAGTTTTTATGAAATTTTTCATTAATAATAAATATTTTCATTTGTATAATGTAAAACAAATAACTAATATCTGTGTATAGATATATATTATAAACAAATATAATGTATGTAATATTTCAACATAATTCTGGACTACTCATTTTATTTTGTGACTAATCACTTATGATTCCCCTTCACTTAGTTTTATAAAATTATTTAATGCATTTTAGTTTCATTTAATGTGGCAGGCACAGAGATTCCGTGTAATGTACAGTGTCTCACAAAAGTGATGGGACACTTATGCTTTATGAAAGGAAACTGAAGTAAAATAAATTAAAGAAACAAGTAAAAATATTTTGTGGGTGTGTTTCATACTTAAATTTAGTAACAATTATTACATACATACATTTTCTCTCAAAATATTAAAATAGTAATTTAATAAAAATACAATTGTTTAGAACGGAGCAAAAATGGCTCACATAAGTGATGGGACACTTACTTTTCCCCATCAAATATTTATCCAAAAATTTTACTTCTTAAAATGGTTTTAATATTTTGTTGGATTTCCTTTTACTTTTAAAACATGATTTAATCTTCTTGGTATGGATTCGACTAATTTTTTTGTGATTTCTGGAGTGATTTTACCCCATTCTTCTTGAAGCACCGATTTTGATTGTTGTTTTGAAGAAATGGTGTGTTTGCAAATTCTTGATTCCAATTCTTGCCAAATATTCTCTATGGGATTAAAGTCTGGAGATTGTGGTGGTGTTTTTATTATTTCAGGACAGTTATACAGCAGCCAGAGTCTCAAAGCAGTGTGCTTGGGATCATTGTCCTGGTAGAATTTAAAATCGTTATGAAGGATAAATTTTCGTGCTGAAGATTTCAAATTTTGATTTAAAATGTCAATATACTTGTACTGATCCATTATACTGTCAATAAAAACAAGATTACCAACTCCAGCGGACGACATACACCCCCATACCATAACTCCTCCTCCACCATGTTTTATTGTTGGCACCAAGTTCTGTTTGCAAAATTCTTTCCTGGGTTTTCTCTACACCAAGATTCTACCGTCAGAACCAAATATATTAAATTTACTCTCATCAGCAAATATAACTTCATTCTAGTAATCAAAGTTCTTATTTATGTTGGATTTTGCGAAAGCCAGTCTGAGTTTTCTATTCTTTTCACTTATGAAGAATTTTTTCTTGGCTGCTCTACCGTGATATCCAGCAGATCGAATTACTCTTCTAATAGTCTCAGGATTAACAATTACTCCATATAATGCTTGTAAATCAGCAGCAACTTTAGGAGCACTCATTCTTGGATTTTTTTTAATATTTTGAACAATAATTCGCTTTATTCCATTGGATAGCTTTGATGGTCGGCCAGGTCTTCTTTTATCCTGAATCATATGATTCTTTTTTATATCGTTTAATGATATTTAAAACTGTTGAATGACTGATGTTAACTGTTTCAGCAGTTTCTCTAATAGATTTTCCACGTTCAATATGCAAATTAATAACTAATTTTCGAATTTCAGGCAAAGTTTCTTTTCGTTTAGCATTCATGGCTGCACAGAGCTAAAAACACAAAAATTCTAAAACAAACTGGAGAGAAAACTGCAGACGATTTTATAAAATTATTGCCAATTGCTTTTGAGTAAAAATAAAACCCAAAAATATTTTTTATTGTTGTACGTAGTAGTATCTAATGGTGTCCCATCACTTATGTGAGCCATTTTTTGCTCCGTTCTAAACAATTGTATTTTTATTAAATTACTATTTTAATATTTTGAGAAATGTATGTTATGTAATAATTGTTACTAAATTTAAGTATGAAACACACCCACAGAAAATTTTTACATGCTTTTTTAATTTATTTTATTACAGTTTCTTTTTGTAAAGCACAAGTGTCCCATTACTTTTGTGAGACACTGTATGTTTAAAAAAATTTATGTAATACACTTTTCATTGCAGTTGTTCAGAGTTAAAGAACCAAAATACTACAAGCAATAAAATGTATTATTGTTTTATATCTTATATAAAAATTAGCACTGTTGATTTTTATATGTTAATTATGCATTTACTTTATCATTAGTATGTATAAATCACAATACCATTTTAAGCTATTAGTATAATTTTGATCTAACTAGTATTTTAAACATAGTCTTAGATTAAGTAAAATTTCAGTTTACCATTAACCTGTATATAATTATGGAAGTGCTGTAAAGTGCTTATTTGTTTTATTTTCTGATTTAATAATACAAGTCAAGGTTTTTCTAATAATTACCATCTATATATATATTGTTAAAATTTTATAATTTTTGAAAGCTGCTGAAATTAAAATAATAATTATGTGTTTGTATTTATAATTGTATAAATTCAATAGAATTTGGGACGAATTAGCAAAACCTTTCCAGTAAATATTAAATTAAAAATAATGTAACTAATTTCGGTTTTGCTAAATAAAATACCTTCTCAGATTAAATAAAATGTTTTCAGAAGCAGTAAACATAGCCTTTGATAATATTTCTCCTGAAATAGTGGATAATACATTTCTGTTATTTCAACAAGTTATGCTGGAAGCAATGAAGAATGATGGCTCCAGGAACTTTGAGCTGATGCTTATAGAAAAAGTAAAGCTTCATGAACAAGGTAGCCATCCTACTTACAAGTATGAAGTAACAAAGTTATTGAAAGTGCCAGAAATTATCTCAACCCTCAAAACAAAAATTAGGAGTAATATTTTTAATATATTGTTTAAATGGTATTGTTCTGTTATCATAACCGGATTCAGAAATGTATGTATGCATGTGTGGATGGATGGATGTGTTTGTGTGTATATATGTGTGCATGCATGTCTGCGTGTGTGTACACACACATATATGCATATACATACACATGTGCATACATACATACACATGTGTATGTATGTGTATCTACCTCATTTATACATGTTTTAATGATGTCCCAATAACAGAACATTACCGTTGCATTTAATCTAGTATTTTGATGATAAAAGTTTCATTCTTTATTATTGGCTTTTGCTACTATTATTATGGAACAAGTTAAATTCATCAATTGCTACTGTTGTTATGGAACAACAGTAGCAACATTATACTGTCAATAAAAACAAGATTACCAACTCCAGCGGACGACATACACCCCCATACCATAACTCCTCCTCCACCATGTTTTTATTGTTGACAAGTTCTGTTTGCAAAATCTTTCTGGGTTTTCTCTACCCAAGATTCTACCGTCAGAACCAAATATATTAAATTTATCTCATCACATATAACTTCATTCTTAATCAAAGTTCTTATTTATGTTGGATTTTGCGAAACCAGTCTGAGTTTTCTATCTTTTACTTATGAAGAATTTTTCTTGGCTGCTCTACCGGATATCCAGCAGTCGAATTACTCTTCTATAGTCTCAGGATTAACAATTACTCCTATATGCTTGTACAGCAGCAACTTAGGACACTCATTCTTGGATTTTTTTTAATATTTTGAACAATAATTCGCTTATCCATTGGATAGCTTTGATGGTCGGCCAGGTCTTCTTTTATCCTGAGATTCTTTTTATATGTTTAATGATATTAAAACTGTTGAAGACTGATGTTAACTGTTTTCAATTTTCTCTAATAGATTTCACGTTCAATATGCAATTAATAACTAATTTTCGAATTTCAGGCAGTTTCTTTTTGTTTAGCATTCTGCACAGAGCTAAACACAAAATTCTAAAACAAACTGGAGAGAAAGACTGCAGACGATTTTATAAATTATTGCCAATTGAATAATTGTTACTATTTAATACTGATACAAACTTCTGTAGGAATTATAAAACTGATTATTAATTCTACATTGATTCTAAATTTATCTGTTTGCACTTAATGCAACATCCTAATGTAATTTTCTTTCAGCTCTGAATATATGTAATGGGAAGATTAACCATTCTGGAGCATATGGATTACATCCTATGCAGGGAATAAAACAGCAGCATATGTTTGGTTCTTCGGCATCTTTAAGTCGTAACCAAGGCACGTATATTATCTCTTTTGTTTTATTTGTTTATTTTTGTTACTGTGGTAATTATTTTAATGTAATTTACTATATATATATTATTTCATAAGAAACTAACATAAAGTTAATTAAAATTAAATAATTCTCTTGCGCCATTGCTGCAAGGAATGAAATTAACAATAAGTCGTAACCAAGACACATACATTATTTCTTTTATTTTATTTATTTGTTTATTTTTGTTACTTTGGTAATTATTTTAATGCAATTTACTATATATATATAAATAAGATATTGTTTCATAAGGAACTAACATAAAGTTAAATAAAATTAACTTGCAAGGAATGAAATTAACAATATGTATAGAAAGAAATTTAGAACCAATTTTTCACAAAGATCTGTCTTTACTGATGATTTTTTAGCAGCTTAATGCGCAAAATACTAGGCATAATTATATTATGTTTTTTAAAAAATTGTTTTGTAATTATAAAGCCAAAAAATAAGTTTTAATAACAATTTAATAAATATTTTAATAGATTTTGCAGTAATTAGTAGATATTTAAAGTAAACACGTATTCTAATATATTAAGAGAAGTAAATATGTAATAAGATTAATAAATATTCAGTGGATCAGTGTCACACCTCAGCTGAAATTTGGTATGCGCAAAGTGTTTAAGTTGTTTTGGGGGAACTTAAAAAGAGAAAAAGTGCATATGAGTTTGGAGAACTGAAATAATTTCATACATGTAAGAAATTAGTTAACAAAAAATAAATGAAGATGTTAAAAAGGTTGGTTTTTGAAAGAACGTTATTAATTAGGAATGAAAAGAATACTCAGCTAACATAATACTTAATTAGTGATGAAAACATCAGATTAAAATTTTGTTGGTACAGTACAAAGTTCGTAATCCGAACTCGTCGGGACTTCAACGATTCCAGATTAGGGGATTTTCCGGATTATAGATCATCAATTTAAATCTGGTAAGATGGCATGCAGAAATTATACAATTAAAAATATGAAATCATAATTTATGAAATAAAGAGAATTATGAACTAAAGGGTATCAAAATTTACAAAAAGAAAATTAATATTTATTTGTTTACTTTATTAAACATTTCTTTCAATGTAAGTTATTTGAGTTACTTCGTTTTTTGTGCTAATACTTTCTCTTTAATTCTATAAACAGACATAATTTTTTGTTCAGTTACAAAGTTCCACTGTTCAAGTCCTGTAATTACTGTGTCGAGAATACCGACTAAGTTGTATATCGAAATTTTTTTTGTTTTCAATAATGTTCTCTGTTACTTTCTTCACTATCGGAAGTGCGCATGGGTAAAGGCTTTACTGACTTTACGCCCATGCGTAGCGGATGCATGCATCAAACGCACATGCATAAACACTTTACGCACATGCATTAGTTTGTAGCTTTGAGGTCCGGATTACAGATCATTCCGAATAATAGACATCCGAATTAGTTATATGCAATCATTGGCATTATTGTATGTATAAATGAGCTAAGGCATGCAGTTTAGTGTGAGAGATGCATTTGTCCCATGATACATCAGAGTGTTAATTGGCATATTGGTGGATAGTTTTATTTTTAGATCCCATCCTAGAAAGTGAAAAATTTTTTTAATGTGTTTAATAGATAGTTATTTAAGAATTCAATTTAATTAATATGTTAGTAGCAAATGGTAAACATGAAGATTTGCAGCAGAACAAAGCATAATAAAAATATTTTAGATAAATGATATTTGACAGATTGTTCACATTATTTGATAGAGTCCAAAAGAAATTCTGGTTACTTTTGATCAGTTGATGAATGAAAACTAGCACAGAGATGAATTATTTTCACCTTAAATACTTCTTAAAATCCGTGCTATGTAATAAAAATTCTCACTTTTAGAATAACGTCAATTATAAACAGTATATATATATATATAAATATACTTTCATTTAACACTCAAAAAGAGAGTTATTTTGAAGAAATTGTTTAATTTTACTTTAAACAACTAACATATCCAGATCTTTTTTATGTGAAATATCATTTCTTTTCAGATTTATGTTGCGGTAGTCTTCCAAATATTAATCGTGGGTATTACAGCCTTAGAAGAGAAAGGAAATCAAAGCATCCTAGTGATCAGAAATCACCATGTCCACTGCCAATATATCCTTCCCATCCAAAAGTGACAGCCAACGGATCAGTGAAGGAGGTATTAAAAGTGAATTTTATTAATATCTTATTCACATAATTTAATGAAGGGTAAGGGAGACTAAGGATTTATGATTGCTAAGCATATTTGTTTCCTGAAAGAAAGCTTATAAAAATCAAGTAAGTAACATTTTCAAATTTGGTAACACATTTAATGTTATATTTTTGGCCAAAAATAAGTAGTTTATAATAATTTGTAGCTGCTTTAACATGACAAGTGATTTTCTAAATGGCTAGGTTCCACTTTCTTAGAAGTAAATACATTACTTATGTAATTTTCTAGCATTTGCAACTTAAGAAATTTAATTGTAGTAATTTTATTTATGATTGATGTTTATTTATAAATGATTTTTGTTTAGAACAGATGGTAAGGTTATTTGATTGAATGTTCAGGTGCTTGTGCCTGTGCAGGGCCCTAATCCAATTAAGTAGTTGTACAATTTTCGATCAGTTGATAGCATGATAAGCAAAAATATATAGAGGGTGAGAGTTCATTGCATTTTGCAGAGAATTTGTACGATAAGCAGTAGTGAAGTAGCATTTCATGGAAGACGTCAGTAGATAGGAGTTGAAAATATCAATGTAAATAGTAATGAAGTCGGTAAAATAAATGAGCAACATCATCCGAAACCTTCCCTGAATCGACTCCATCTAGTAGCTTGCTGATAGCAATATGGTACAAGAAACAGTGATTTGTATATAAATGAAGTAGAGCACTGAGCTGGTGAAGAAATGTCCTATATGGCAGGTGGCTGGCAGGCAAATCAGGTAAGAAGTAAGAAGAGGCTAAGTTAGAGTAAGCTGTATCCATCAATGTTAGGATTATTTGATCCCACTGATTTAGGAATGCATAATCCAAGGAATCAAGTATGCCTATGATGAAACTCCATCTAATAAAGATGTAATTATTATTATTATTACAAATTGCTGCAAATTTTTATATGAAATAAAATTATGTAATATTATTTATATAATAATACATTATTATAATAATAGATTTAAATCTGTGTTATACATATAAAATATAACTGATATAATTTTTAATAGAAACTTTAAATACTTTTTTTTTTAATCTGTGCAGATTTTTATGTTGTTGTCAAGTTCTCAATAAAAAGAGATCATGTTTTGTTATACAAATCAAAGGGAACAGAAAGTTAGAGCTTTTACACATGAAATTAATATTTTGATGAGAAAAATAATAATAGTGCCCTCTGTCAATTCATGTAGGCATGTATTTGCTGAAAAATTATGCTTAACCCATTAACCGCCGAAACTACAAGGAATGTTTCTTTTCTCATGAAAATAATAACAAATATTAAATTAAGCAATTATAACATAAATTTACAGTGAAAATTAAAAAAAATGCTCTTACCTGTGGAAAACGCGAGTGTTGCGTTCGCGCAACGTCAGCGGAATAAGACTACGGATGTTTAGTGAGTAGGATTGTACTCGTGTGATGTTTCTTTTGAGTGGCGCGCAGGATTACAACGAAGTCTTTTGTTATCAACGGATTTTACGATAAAATGTCTACCATCTCCATGCAATGGTTTTTGAATGCTGAATGTACTAGGTCTTCCTGTCGCTGATCTATTTCTGGATGAATTATACACTCTCAATAGGAGTTTTCAAAAGGAATATGCATTCTCGCGTCTGAAATCTGAAAAGAGACTTTATATTCCCACCAGTAAAAAGTGGTCTGATATTTAGTAAGTTTAGAATACGGTCTCACATCATATAATTTATCAGTATTGTCAATTTGATTATTGTCAAATGCAAATCTGCTTCATAATTCCTGTACTGCAAACGTGATGTTGATTCTAGTACAACATGGAACAGAAATGTGGCCTTATCAAAAGAATACCATAAAATTTTTCTTGAGGTAAAGAATGCTATCCTGTAAGCAATAATATTCCAATAAATCTTCTCATATAGGCTTCAGATGCAATAAATTCTGTGTGCTTTTTCAATTCAGTGATTCAATAGAATGATTCTTTATGATTACTAAAATATAATAATTTATTACAGTGATTCTATGCATTTACTAAGTACAATGATTAATCATATCAAACCAGTTAACACAATGATACTATAAAACAATACAATTACTCTTATTTAATATGATTACTCTATTTAGTAACAGTACTATTCTGCCATCAATTATACTAGTTAGGTAAACATTAAAAGTAATAACCTTATCATCTATACGATCATCAATATGATTACTCTATTACGATGTTTCAAAACTATGATACAATGAATTAATACTATACACAATTACTCTGATACAAAACGATTACTTTACTAAAATAATTATTCAGTTTAAATGTAAATTTTATAGTACAAGGAAGCAAAGTCATCTCTCAATGATTTTATGCAGTTACTCAAATAAATAATAATAAAACCATACATGTTATTAGTCATATTAGCCAAGTCAATATCAAAACATTAAGTATATCATATTGTACCTATTATAGTATTAATTTTGAAATAGCAGAACAGCTACCTGACATATCCGCTCCACAGCCAAAGGAAAGTAAAGCCAAAGGGAGTCCATATTACTGGATGTACTGTACATTATGTATAGTGCAGTATGGTATATACAGTTCATTAGAACAGTTTTAGATACATTTGGAATAGCCAACAGAGTGTTTTTCTGACTGCCTGCCATGCCCGCTCCAAAGCCAGATGGATTGTTTAAAGCCTAGGGAGTCCACATAACGGGATAATTCTTAGTTTTTTATTTGCATTAGTTTTCAGCACAGGTCAAGATAGTTTATTTTATGATATACTTTAGAGATATATATAAAATTAGATTTGACACAGGTCAGTACCGAGGTAAGTTTATAAACAATTTTGTTAATCTTCCGTACTGTTTGCTTGTTATTAATCATGAAACTGCTAAATGCTTGCTCATTCGTTGACGGGATCGGCAGGTGCAAATCAGTTGTTAGTGGGCAGTTAGCTACATAATGTTCGGGTGTGCCCAACTCACCGCAAATGCACTGTGCCGTATTTGTAATGCCAAACCTTTCAAAATATACAGGAAAAGGACTATGTCCCGTTATATACCATACAAGTTGAGCATGTATTATGAGGCGATCATAAGTTACTGTGGGGATATGATAATAAACACTACGTCCTGTGTCGTTTGAGTTCCACTATTCCTGCCATAGGGATTTGATTTTTTGCGTAAGATTTTTCTTTAGCCAAGATATTGGCCAGGGTATCTTAATTTGTTCAGCATTTATGTTCTGTGCTGCTTCTTTGGCTAGCTGATCCGCCAGCTCGTTTCCTGTTTGGCCAGCATGGGCCTTTATCCATTGCAGCTTTACGTTTAAATGACTGTTGTCATGTAATTTCGACTGGATGTCCACTATGAGCGGGGAATAGTGCACTGGATTTAAAAGTTCATTCAGAGACGATAAACTATCTTGTCAGTATGAAGCTTCCATTATGTTGCTGCTGTATATGATGTGGTTTAGTGCCCGGTCAATTGCTAACACCTCACTCTGGAACACATTATTATTGGTGTCCAGGTGACCTTTCCAAAGTGTTAGTGTATCCAGGTTTTGCAGGGCTATGTAGGCAAAGCCTGTGTTATCATCTATTTGGGAGCCATCTGTATAATACACTAAATCAGCATTCATTATGTTGGTATTTTGCTTGATATTAATGTTCAACCCTTTTCCCTGTTTCGCTGGATGATCACATAGCCGGATCAACTTCTTCTCATATTCCTCTGGGAAATAATTATCCTCATGGAGGGTTGCTGGTTGGCCTAATTGGGTGACTGTTTGATAACTTGCTTCTTTTTTCACACTAAGATGCAGCGGTGGCAGACCCCTGCATTCCAATAAAAATACATAGTATTAACATTACAATAGCTAATACGATATCTTCATTTGTGCTTCCCTGTAACTTTTATGTCATTCATTCTCGTTGCTGTCTACTGCTACTCCCTATGCCTTAAATTATTTAATGCTGCTGGAACTGCTATCTGAGGCTTCTGCTACAGCTTACAAGCTATCTTCGTAGTCTGCATCATCGTGAAATCCATCTTCATACTTGTAATGATTTTCAGAACCATCAAGAGCATTAGATATATCCATTTTCTTGAAGCTCTTCATTATTATTGCTTTATCAGTCAGAATCTGTGCTCCCAAAATCCACAAGCAAATCAGTTCAGTGGATGATCTCTGAATTTTGCGAGTTCTAGTAAAACAGTGCTATCTTGTTGATGTCCACTCATTATAAAACTTTTGGAGATGGTCTTTGAATGGTTTATTCACTGATACATTCAAGGCTGCAGAATTCATGTAAGCCTTCTAGAATAATGACAGGAACAGAGTCATGAGATGCCTGTGGAAACTGTCGAAAACTAATAATGACTTCTTATTGTAGAAGATGGTTCCATACAGTTTTGAACCACTCTTTTATCAAGTCGAATGATCCAACCTTTGATTATATCTTTTAGGTTAGATTAATCCAATGAATTAATCCAGCCTTTCTTATTTACCCTAACTATGATACCACGGAGGTTTTGTTTCAGCATTGTCTGATGATTTTTTAGAACCATCATAAGCCTTAGATATTCCTGTGTGGGGTAATTTTTTTTTTCCTTTAAGCTTTTTACTATTATTTCTTCATCAGTCAGAGCCCAAGCATCCAAAATCTGTGAGCAAATCAATTGCAAGACAAAAACTATTATATAAGTGAATCTATTTAAAAATTTTTAGAGAAGCTTGCTTTCTAAATGACTTGAGGAAGATTAAAAAATATGTGAAAATAATGAGGGAGGCAAAAAATATCTGGTCCAGAAAATTTTGTCCTTGCATTGATATTTGAGTAGATTAGTGCAGGCCTGAACACATCTGTCCTTATCCGCTTGAGTCAGCTGATGCAGCACTCAGCAGTTGAACTTGTACATCAAGTTTATGCAATGCATAGCGTGATTAATGGACATGGTACTAACGTCTAACTCCTTAGCAAGCTTGTCCTTGTTTTTTAACTTTCGGTACCAAGCCTTCACAGTGTCATATGATATAACATTAGTACCTAAAGCTGTACACATGATTTGATGACCCTCTGTAGCTGACGTTTTGCAACAAAACTGGAAGTAAATGATGATTCTAATTTAGTAGTGTGATAGTTCCATTTCAGACACCTTGCTATTCATGATAACGATATTTTATACAAATTTCACAAAACGGTCTAAAAAACATAAAATCTAAACTCTAAAGCAAGTCTCTTTCAAATGCCAAAAATCTTTTGACAAAATTTGATTAAACATGCCAACATGAACTGTTTGTGCAGACAATATTTGTTTGTGGTGGCGGGAAACTTTTGTTTAAACCTGATAATTAGAAATTGGTGTTATCAACTGAATGAGTACTTTCAAGCCATTTTCAAACTGAACTAAATTTATAAAATTGTAAGATCTGATTCAAATAATATAACATTTTAACACTATTTATTATTATTGGTAATACCAATAATCATATTCTATGTGTTAAAATGAAGGACCTTACCCCCAAATACTGATGAAGTGGATCCCTCACTTCATAAATCTGCTTGCAACTATGAACATGTAAGTCTTTCTTATTATTAATTAGTCCTTTGGAATGCAGGGCTCCATGAAATTGCATAAATTTCTCTTTCTTCATGAACCTGTCAATACATGTTTGAATTCCGACACACACTAAATATATAACTGCATACACACTAAATATATAAGTACCTGAAGTGCATTAAAAGAATATCGTACTTGTGCATTCTTGATGTAACTGCAAATATAGACTGTGGTTGTAAGAAATGTAGACAATAGGTTGTAACTAACATCTTGTGTCTTTTCTTGGAATAAAAAATTAGACAATAGGTTGTAACTAACATCTTGTATCTTTTCTTGGAATAAAAAAATAATCTTGCATCAATAAAACATGGGCCAATATGTATGAAGAGTCAGTGGACATGATTTTATGTAATTCTTGTAAAGATGTATAATTTAAATGCTTATGTGAATGTTCAAGTGCTGGTTCAAAAACTATGTAGGAAACCAAAATTTTCAATCATGAATGCTTTCCACATATTCTTAGCATACACTAACAAGCAGTAATGCACATATTGGGAAACTACATATTATACCTACTGTAGAACTGTTAACTCACCACTGTCACTCAAACTTCATGCAATTACAAGAGACCTTAAAAGCATTACATTTGAAAGTGCCTAGCATGTATCTCTCAAGAAGAAAATCAAATCAAAAATTTGAAATAATCAGTATATTATGTGACTTTGTCAAACTGGAAATAAATTTTGTCACTTGGATAACATACTGGCATGCAGATGAAAGATTTGAGATTTTAAATGTGCACAATTCTTTCTTCAGGTGTCCTTTCCATTTGGAGGTAAAATAATCATAACAATTATTTTAAAGAAATGTATAAAATGTTATATTACAATTTAAACTTTTTTCAGAAAAGGATTAAAAGGTTATATTAAGTTAAAATTCAAAGGAAGGAAAATATATTGTTAACTTTCTTAAACATTCATCCATAATTTACTAAGCCTTGAGAAAAATCAATCATATATTAATTTTTTGAGTATTTAGATATTAATATATTAAAGAATAAATCTTGATGGCATTTTCTGATAAGGAAATTTCAGATTTGGTGCAATAAAATGGTTGTAAAATTAATTTAAATTTTACGAAAGCTAGCATTTTAAAGAAAGAAGAGAAATATTATAGAAAGTTAATTTCATTTTTTGAATTACTCCATTCAAATATTTTTATAAGGAAAAAATGTTGCACAAAATAAAATAAAAGGAAAAACTCTGTAGATGAGAACTGTGGATTCATCTGCTGGACCTCTGACTTGTCACTGAACCATTTAGAAGTTTTGTAAACTTAGAACTGGGGATATTTTATTTGCTGCAGGTAACTTACTTGAGGCCATAAGAGACCTTGTTAAATTGATTAATTCAAATAATATGTACATTACATGAAATTTTAAACTTGATTTTCTAGTTTATTTTTTAAATGTACATACTAGGTATTTCTTGTTACATTGATTTTAAAGTTTCCTACAACTGCACAGAAATTGGCTGAGATCAGTGAGATCCAAGGCAACTTTGTTTCACCAAGAGTAGATCATAGTTTTATCCTTAATATGAAACATATGAGTGGATTGCAACAAGAGAAAGGCTAAATAATAATGATTATTGAGTTTAGGATGCAGATTTTATATCACACCAAAGTAAATTTTTAAATATTTGCAGTTCGTATTAGTAACTAATGGAGAACTTGAGCATGACCTAAACATGCACAGTTTTAAAGGAAGTTTTAACATTAATTTAGTAACACTTTCCTATGTTAGACATAAGTTCTGAGATTATTAACATGCATTTTTACTTTCTCTTTTTCAGTTACCTATTGAATCTCAAGCTAAAATGACATCTCCACCTTATGCTTATCGAGAATCTCGAACTTTACCGTCATCGTATCGAGTCAATTCGAGAAGTAAGTCATCTTCTCGAAGAGATTTGAATCTCACTCCTTCACCTCGCCGTGAATCTGCACCTTTCTTCCCCAGTTATAAAAGCAATCCTGTTTCAGACACAAATCGAAGAGATTCAGCACCATGTAATCCTCGTAGATTTTTATCACCAGTATCATCTCCAACACTATACCAAAGATGCAGCGCATCCTCACCAGTATTACAAAGTCCCACCAAAGCACACAACAATTCATTTCAAACCAAGAAGACTCCACCTAGTGCAGAATACCACCGAAATGCTTCACATTCCCCATCTAGACGATTACCTTTAAATCCAGTTCATAATCAATCACCAAAGCGAGGCAACAGTCCAGCTTCACCTCGCAATGGGGACTTCCGAAGCTTGAAATTGCCATCTAAAATACCTAATCCAGCCTCAAGGTAAGTTGTATGTTATATAATAATGATATTAACGCTAATTTAAATTCTGTAAATTTTTAGATTTTGCATACAAGCGGCCCTCGATTTTAGCACATAACTGGTTGCTGAAAATGTGTACAAATTTTTAATGTTTGAAAGTAGAGGATGTTTAAAAAAAATTTTAAATGTATTTTAAAATGCTTATATATCAGCAATATTATTTACTTATCAACATAAATAATTAAATTAACAAGGTGTATTTAAGCACTTTTAGGTGTTTTCTTTATAAGCATGTCAAAAGGTAATTAAACACCAACTTTTTACTTGTACGATGTAAAGGTAATATTATAATCACAAAAAATTTAGGGTATCATATTTCATTGAAAAAATCAATTTGAGTGCTTTTAAATCCATTTGAATGACATTTTTGTGTAACATCTGTACATAAGGACAGATTAAAATACTTTTTTTTTTTTTTTTTTTTTTTTTTTTTTTTTTCCCAGAATGAATTGTAAAATAGATTTAAAATGGATTCAGAGGAGATTTTTTTTTCCACAAAAAAATAGGTCTGTACATACATACGTCTGTATCTTGCATAACTCAAAAACAAGTAGACTCAGAACGTTGAAATTTTGTATATTAACATGTAACACTTTAACATGTAGTTGTGCATCTCTCTGTTTTGTTACAATCGGAACATATGTACCACTGAAACATGTACATATATATATATATATATATATTGATTGAATTATGTTGTTCTTATGTTCCAGTTAAGGTTTTTATGTCTTTAGTTAATCTGCATGCAACAGTTTAAAAGTTGTTTAAGTATTGATAACCCTAATGTGACTGCTATTTGTTTACATTTAAAAGTCTTCGTAGATAGTGAATTAAGTCAGTTTGTGCACCAACTTCAGTGTCTTTTTTTCCGAGTTAGACCAAAAGTAAACTTTAAATTTTATGCATAAAAAAAGTCTGTCTTCCTGCCCACTGGTCAAATCGCTTGCTTTTGCATAGAAACTCTAATTGTTTAATTATTTATTTTTGCTGTTTTTAACTGTATTTCATGTTTTTCTGCATTTTACAATTTTCAATGAAGATGTAGGTTTTATGTATGTTTGTCTTGTCACAAAGTGAGAATTGAATTAATGGAATGAGAAACCTATCTGTAAGGAAATTCGAGGAAGTAAGTTTAAATGAAGTGCAGCAAAAAATGTGTATAATATAGGCCATAAAATGAAGTCATGTGGTGTCCACATCAGATATTTTTTTTCTTTCCTTGATAAAGAGTTGAATAACATGATGTGTCTCTTCAGTCGACCTGTGTACTTGACTGTGTACATTCTCCATTGAGATAGCATTCTTCCATGATAATCAAAAATTTGCATGCATGAAGGCTTCATTCATATTTTTTATTGACAAAGTTTTGATGAATTTATCAGCTTCTTTCCCTCACTATCATTTAACTCTTGTTGCTTTATTCATTTAACTTGCTTTATTTGGAAGAGGTTACTGAGTGACATTCAGTTAACATTTTCATTGTAGATGTCCAAGTTTAGTTCAGTCATTAAGCTAATTTCATTTGCGTTTCAGGTGTTCCTTCAGAATTTATAAAATTGTTCATCATTGGTGGGCATAATTGCTTTCATTGTTGTCTTTGATTTCAGCCCACAAATCTCCAGTATTGTTTAGGGTGTTCCATATATTATAGTTCTTCCAAAATCTCTTAATGTAAGCTCACCTTTCCTGCCAGTTAGTTGCCTTGATCTGATTTATTATTGTTCGTATATAATATCATTTAAATTGTTTGATCCATGGGCAGTATGGGCAAGTAGTAAGAAACACTGATTATGGATATAAATTTTTAAGAAATTTTCTGTCTTCTGGAGCACTGTCTAAGATTAATAATGTTTTAAATTGTAAATTTTTATCTTTACAATATTGCTTAAATGCCAATATGAATAAAACATGAACCAATCTTTAAATATTAATGCAATAACTCAGGCTTTTTTATTTTATTTCAAAATGAGTGGAAGCAATTCTCTATCATTTCCTTTAAATGTTCTGGCATATTCTGCATTCTAAACTAACACTGGCTTCAATTTTAAATCACCAGCTGAGTTTCCACCAAAAAACAATATCAATTAGCTTTTAGAATGCTTATGTCCAGGAGAACAGACTGTTCCTTTGATAGATATGTATGATTATCTCCTCCCCTCCCCCTCGTCTTCATTGAGTATTTAGCTAGGAGAATATCCTCCATCTACAATAATTCTGGGCAATGAGGAAATAAATTCTTTGCAGCATCTCTATCTGCGTTAGCTAATTCTCTAGTAAGTTTAATATTATGTAACTAGTACTTCATTTTAAATTTGTCGAACCAGCCACTACTTGCTTGAAATACCATGTTGGAATCATCTCTTAATCTAATCTTTCAATCTTCATGCAAACTAAGAGCCTTAGCTTAAAAAATTAAAAAACTCAGAATGACATTGTTTTGATTTTGACCATCAGTCCATGATGACAAAGTTCTTTCCATTCCATCCATTACTATGGTCTTTTGAAAACATTTTTTGATATATTTGTACAATTTTAAATGTATTCCTTAATTTTATTCTTGTTTTTCAAAATGGAATGTATCATAGACCTGTTTATGTCATACAAATGGGCAATTGAAGGAAAAGATTGACCGCTTTCAGAATGTTTCAATATTTCCATCTTTATCTCGATTCTATGAAGTTTATGAGAGCTTAACTACGGTTTGTTTATATATATTCATTTCTCACTCATAAATTTGTAATGGTAAAATATTTAAATGTAGATAAATAAATTGGTAAAACATACAATGCATCGATGCATGCTCTAATGTAAGACGGAATTTGTCTAATACACTGTTTACATTTGACCCCACCACCACAGCTTGGGAATCCTAAAGATATCACTATGATTCTGAAAAGTCGACTACTCTAGGAGGCTCTGTAGGAGCAGCTGTATAAAAACAAATAATTTTTGCAGTATTGACAAAAAAAATTTTCAAGTGTGCAAAAATCGAGGGCTGCTTGTACATTCATTCTAAAGGAAGACTGTTCTTTAAAAGTGATTAACTAAAAATTCATTACATTTATATGACAAATTAATAGTAATATATCCTATAGCTTCTCAGTAATTTAAATTTGTTAATTTTTGTTAATATTTGTTTTAAATTATCATGGATTTCAGTTTTCGTTCATGACCTTAGAATTAAAATGAAATAGTGTAAAAAATTTATAAAAATATTATATCATTAAAAAATTCACAACCTTACCTGAAAGAAATATAAATTCATAACTACTGTAACTATTCCATCTTTTAAAGCAAATATATATATGTAAGATTAACCTCAATAAGAACATAGTAGAGCACGACTTAAACATAACTAAGTACTTTATTTTACTATTATGAAATAAAATGAATGAAAAGATGAATTAAGGTGAAAGTGAATAAGCTGGTAACCTCACAATTAAAGTAAGTCCAAACAGAATTCATGTAACGATGATCATTCTCATACACTATCAGTTTCTAACAGTTCTACAGGCACGTAGGCTCATGCCATGAGAGAATACGTCTATTCTCATTCACCCACGGCTAACTATAGACGAATATCGTCCATTTGGACCACAAGGAACTTGATCATCGAAGGAAATCATCTATTTCTGCCAACTCTTGGAGGATACGCAAGCCGTCTGCTTGCCTCCATTCCTTTCCACGTCTGGAAGCTATCTGGGCGTTGTCTTGATTGCTCCACGCTGTGCTAAGCTGTGATGACGTCGTGCCTTGCTGGGTAGAAGTTGAAGTAGAGGGAGTGGAAGAATATGCCCTCACATATATATGCTTTCTGTAAAAATCTTTGCTTTATTGTAATGGGACAAACTGATTTTGTGATTGGCTTGTACAAGTTGCTTTTATGTCAAGCAAATATGCTATGTATTAACATTTCCATAAAGCAGAGAATTGTAACAAACAGTACCACATATATCTCATCACAATAAAAAATATTCTTATGAGAAATTTTGGATATTAAGCCAGATTTGTAAAATTATAACCAGTGATGTGATCTCATGAACAAGCAATAATAATAATAATAATAATAATGGTAATCACAGTTACATGGACTTAAATTGAAACAGTTTAAAAAGAAACATGTAATATTACAAAAGCTTTAGCATTGAAATTTAAAAGTCCCCCCCCCCAGTGTTTCTAAAAAATTGTTTTTTATGCATTTTGAAAGTACTGAACATAAATCTTTGTCAATCAGAAAGAACTTTTCCCCCCCCCCCCCAAAGAACAAAATTATTATATGCCATTTTGCTAGAAATAGTCACAGTCACTTAAATGGATTAAATAAATAATAATAATAATAAGATACAGCTTTAGAAGTGTCATTTATTGAAAAAAAATAAAAAAGAATTAAGAAATTATGATATAAACAGGACTGGAAAAACTGATAAATTTTGATAAATGACGCTTTAAGGAAATTTTATTTGTTAACTGGAAGTTTTTTGTTAAACTTGGATAAAAGGAATGGCTAAGAATATTTGTGTTCCTTAATGCAAAACTTTCTTTTATGTGATAAATGTAACTTAAACCATATTGGCAAGAAAAATTATAAAACTTGAAAACAGAACATGTCTAGTGCAATACTGTAACAGAATGGAAAATACAAATAGATAAATGACTTGGTATAACTTATAGTATGTGCTTCAAAACTAAATTAATAAAAAAATTTAAACATTAAAAAGGAATGTGAAGGACAGGACTTCTTGCAGCAAATGTTTAATAAGAGCAGTTTATAATTTTATGAATGTCATTGCACCTATCATACATTCTTCTATAATCATTGCATGTACCATCATATATTCTGTTATAATCATTTCAATTTCCAATTGCATATTATAATTCATTTTCTTCAGATCTGGAATACCAGTGCCTTCAATGCCTTATATATCCAGGGCTAATGCTGATGATGACAGTTGGAGTGACGACTGTTTCTGATGAAATTTACTATACTTGTGCATTTTATGATTTGTTTGTGTGCCATGTTTTTAGTCAGTGCCATCTGTGCATTTTCCCGTGTGCCTATGATCAAGGTTGCCAAAGGTTTTTAATTGATTAAATTTGTGATAATTTGAGTTGTATAATGTAACTTAAAATCTGTTGATGTGAAGGAATTGAGTAAATTCTTTGCATGTATTTTACTATTATGAACACTACTAAATTTTGAAAATGTAAGTTGTTATTAAAACTTTTATACAAAGCCTGTTTAAAAATTAATAATGATTTTTACGATATTTTATCTTAAACTTTTGGCAGCATTTGTTAACTTTTTTATGTTGAATAAAACTGTCTTTATACACAGTGTATTTCAAAATTTAGTATAAAAGTTTATCTGTATCATCTACATGTTAGTCATTTCAAATGCAAGGTTACAAAATAAGATGGAAGTGCATATTTTTTATAAGAAGCTCAAGTAAATGAAATGGAATTAAAGCATATCATTAAAATGCAAATTATTAATTTGATATGATACAATGAAAGTTTCTCAATAATAATAGTTTTAATAAAAGTTTCTGAAGAATATTTAAAAAAATTAAATTAAGTAAAATGGAGCATCCAAATAAATCTGAAAGTTTGTTCATACTATTGATTTATCAATTAGAAATTCCCCCAACTAATTTCTCAAAATGTTAATGGGTTTGTTTTTAAAATATTCAAACTAAATATGTGTACAACTGTTTTGAATGTTATCATAAAATATTGTTATAAAAAGTTTACCTTTAAAAGCTTTCTTTAGATTGATTTCTTCTATTACCACCCTCTTCCTTTTTTTACAACTTTTCTGTCCATGGGAACTTTTTTATTATTTAGTGTTAATGTTTCTTACAAATTCTTGTAGCAGTTGAACTGAATATGACAGAATTTTTGTTGGTATGCCATAGAATAGCCCAAAAAAAAAAAAAAAAAAACTTCCAAATGAAGACTTTTAATTGTTAATGCAATCTGCTAGATTTTAGCAGTTTCTCAAAATATTTGATTTTTTTGGTGTTGTGCAGCTGCTAGCAATGATGGATTTTTGAATCAAAAAATTTTAATCATTGCTAGTAACTTCATAATTTTATGATAAGATTGGATTTCTGAATTAAATAGGAATTTTAATGAATTGAATGTAATCTTATATCATTAATTAAGACCAGGACCTTAAAAAGAGATGTCACATATGTTTCATTGCTGTAGTATTAGGAACAATTTTTCTATACTCGGAGTAAAAACAGAATTTCTGCTGAAATTTAATACTTAAACTACATTTTTTACTATAGTGTAAAGTTTAAACAGGAAAAGACAATTATAAAATTATGAAAAAAATATATTTTGAATAAAAAAAATTTACATTTTGATATGAAAATATTTTGAGCAGAACTAATAAGGATAAAAGGGGGCCAAGAAACAAAATCTGTCCCAGTCCTCTGAGCTGCAAATCAATGCACATAAACATTAAGCTACCATATACAAATATTTAGTGGCCAAATCAAAATAAAAAAAAATCAACAAAAGGAAAATTCTCCGAGGTAGAGAAACACACGACATGATATGGCAAATTTACCAAAGTGAATTTGGTGCCAAAGAGTGCTATATAACTTTTCGGAGTCTTAAATCAGAATCAATGTGAATATCTGAGTAAGATATATGAAGTGTTCGAATCAGTGTTTTAAAACATCCTTATAATTCTGTGAACAGATGTGGAAGAATATTCAGGAAAAACATAATTACAGCTGTAGCTTTCAGAACTTAACACTTCAGATATTTGTAAATCACTACAATACAAAGAGGTGTTATTAAATTCAAGCAAATAATAGTTTAAATTTTCTGTAATCTGAAGCAGGCACATTTCCAAAATCCAAAATTTTTTTAAGAAAAGTGTTTTCTGATAAATTTAGAAGTGTTTGTGTTGAGCTCTAGATACTTGCACAAGATAAATTCCAAAAATGTTATTCAGTTACTCTCCAAATGCAATAGCTGCTTTATTTATAGTCATATAAACCTGCATTCAAACCTGTCTTTAAAATTAACAGTTGAACTCTAAATTTAATTATTAGAACAATGGTAATCAAAACAAAAGTGAAATATGCCAAAGTGAAACACAAAATTAGGTAAAGCAACAACATTGTGTCTGGCTTAGATTTTAATCAAGACTATCAATTTCAGGGGGCAAACTGATATGGGTCTCTCTTCATCAGGAGCCCACCAGCGCCTGAGCGGTAAAGTCGCTGAACACTGGTAGTTCGGTCCGAGTTTCGAATCCCACGAACGGGCTGGCTGCATGGGAGTTTTCGTGGTTTTCCCCATGTGTAACGTGTATACGAGCCAGTTTCCCTTAGAAAGTCCTCCACGAAGGGATCCCTCCCCTTAGGCAGATAGCCCTCGAGGCTTTGCCATAATCACACACACACACACACACACTCTTCATCAGGAGCAAAGAAATCTACAGTGAAGGGAAAGCCACAGTTGTATTTGTACTCAAAAGGAGTACAGTGAATGAGAAGGTGGTGCCATCTGTCAACAGAAATAGTAACAAAAATTTAAAGATTAAGTTAATAGACTTTTAAAACTGCTAGAAAGTACTGGGTTGGAATTAAAATCATTAACTAAACAAAATAAATCTTTTTCTTTTATTTATCTTTAGCTTACTTTTTTTTTAAATTTAAATAAATTTATCTAACTAAACTTGCATCTTTGTTATGCAATATTTTTTTGTGAATAAACATTTTTGTCTAAGCTACAAAATGCACTTTTGTACCCATCATGTCTGGTAACACAGTTATTCTCAGAAAATTTACATTAAGTGCATTCCAAATTTCCATCCTTAATTTTTTATTTGGTCTTAAATCACATAAAAAGTGTTAAACTTTAAAATGACTTTTTTAAAAAAATTATCTTTTAAACCTGAAGGATTTGATTATTTCATTTTAATAAAGCACATTAGATTTACCTGCTGTAATGTGCTTTACCAAAAAAAAATTTTCTTACAGAAACTGGTCTCCATTTTTTAACACATAAAGGAAAGCATCATGAAAAGGAATAGAACATGTTGAAAATACTAGTATTTTACAACTTTAGCCATTTACTGCTCTTTCTAAAACATTATACCAATATTATATGTGTTGTACTTTGCTAACAGATAGTACTTTCTATTGTAGTTGGAGATTTCTATTACTAGTTGGAGAGAAAGTTATCATGTAATATATGATGTTCATACATTCTTCCACTTAGAACAAGCCGAGTATACGTATACGCTATAAACAGAGTTTGTATACATTTCTGTACACGAAAATGGAACTACTTTTAAGGACCATTAATGAAAAAAATTAAGGACGTATGAGCAAATGTGAACTGAATAAATTCAATTAAAAATATTATATCTATGCTTGAACTTCACTATAAATACAATCCTTAATACTGGACATATTTGAAAGAAGATAAGTGACATTTTAGTTACATTTTACTATCAGTTAGCTTTTTCTTTCTTTTTTTTAATGTCACATTTTGTCACATACTTGCTCAGTCTAGAGGTTTAGTAAGTAGATTTTGTTGGTATGCATATAGTGATGGACTGTCGCCAATAGCACAATAAACTGTATGAACTGGAAACCCTGAAAAAGAATTTAATTGTGTAACACACTTATTCTTTACACTTACTTTTCTCACTCCTTCAGGATAGGACAGTGATATGATACTCTCTATAATATAAATCCCTTTTTCAATATGTATTTAGAATACTAACGAATTTTTAACCCCTCGGCCGCTGGTACTACCTAAGAGGGTTTACTTGATCTCTCGGCCGCTGGTACTACCTAAGAGGGTTTACTTGAAGTTAAATAGTCCCCTCCCAACAGACGTGAAACAAATTGTCCTATGTCTGAAAGTAACTATAAATCAGAGCTAAAATAAGCTTCTTATTTAAAAAGAACTTAGAACATAAAGGCATTCTCTTATGGTAACAAAATCAATTACAGCTCATGGTAATGTAATTAAACAAGAAGAGTCAAACTAAAAATATGGACTAGTGGTCAAAAGGCTATACAATTTAATTCAGTTCAGTAACTCTATCGTCATAATAAACTCAAATGTCGACAGCGGCAATGAAAAGACTAATAATTTCAAATTATCAGAGCTGACACGAACTAATGCAGGGAGCAAGTGGAGGTCAGAAACACACTCTTGTCTTAAGCTGTGTTCAGATGGCAGCTTAAAGGGCATAAAATACGGGAATTCCGTTCACATGTGGGAGAACCTTGGGTAAGCCATGGCCACTGAGAGAAGCTAAATTTGCGCATGCGTGGATGTGTCTACAACTTTCCCACGCTGTTCTCCTGCTTGATCGATTTCCCGCGTTCGCTCTGCTTGTTTTGTGATGCGAAATCTTCTATAGAACGCCGCTTCGTTTTAGCTTCGCTGTGATTGGTCGACGCTTATCCCAAACTCGCCGTAAAGTTGAAAACTTTGAACCCTATGCCATGAGCCCTAAACCAGATTTTGTGGCATTGTACAGACTGGTTGGTTGCCTTGGCAACGGAACTCAGCTTTAACCACTTATGCCCTTTATGCCCCCGTCTGAACGAAGCTTTACACTCCAAAAACCTCGGTTTAAAAACTGTGTAAGTGATCTGCATACTGGTGAGGAAATAGAAACTTTGAACCCTATGCCACGAGCCTTAAACCAGATTTTGTGGCATTGCACAGACTGGTTGCCTTGGCAACGGAACTCAGCTTTAACCACTTATGCCCTTTACGCCCCCGTCTGAACGAAGCTTTACACTCCAAAAACCTCGGTTTGAAAACTGTGTAAGTGATCTGCATTCTGGTGAGGAAATAGAAATGGAAAATTATAGTAAAGGCTGAAATTGTAAACAACTGGGTATTTTACATAATAATAACTGTGCATATTCTTTGAAGAATAATTTTCTTTCTCTTTACATATTTAGTTCCTTTCTCCAATGTATTTCTTTTTCAGTTTAAAAATTTTGGATTTAATTAACGATTTCTGTTATTTTAAAAGACTAAATGCATTTAGAATGTATGGAAAAAGTTGCTAATTTTATTTCTTTAGTAATACAAACATTCAGAAGAAATATGAAATACATATGGTAAGGTCAGGTCACAGAGCTGGCGTGGCATAATTTTTAGAATTTAGTGACACACAAAGCAACAAAATCTAGAAACGGCAAAACTTTTAGAATTTAGAGCAAGCATTGCAAGCAGAATTTAGGAGCCACAGAGACTGCTTCAGGTGGCAAAATGCCTAGAGCCAGCCCTGTATATGATACATTAAGACATATTAGATGAATCTTTTGAATTCTCAGTTTTCAATTTCTTTATTAATAAAAAAATCCTTTCTATAATGCCTGTCCATATGATAAGATTAGAAGCATTTTTGATATTTTCCATGCTTGTGTGTAGTGAAAAGTAGAGAAAATAAAAATGTTAAGAAAGCGATTTTGGTATCAGAAATAAAATATTCAACTGTTATGTTTTCATTGTTTTTCCAGATGTTCTCCAAAAACTAAGAAATTGCGTGTTACTACATGGAGACATTTTTCAGGAATCTTTTAGAATCATGGGTCTATAAATTTGCCTTCAAATCTTTCTAAACTTTCTAAGCTGCAATGTCTAAAATCCTAAAGAAAACTTACCCCTACCAATTTTGTACCAGCGAAAAAAAATCGAAGGAAAAAATTTGTGAAATTAATTTTATAGAGAGGTTTGCTGGGTATATATTGACGAAAGGAACACCGCCCTCGAAATTTCTCTAATTTTTCTTTGATAGTAACATATTTACCAATAAGGTATATCTTTTAGCAATTTTCATTGAAATCGGTAAAAAATTCTCTCGCAGCCGCCAGTTTGTCCAATTTTTTTCCCGAGCTTCACGATTGGTCACATTGTCTAACCGTAGACACCTGAGAAGAAATTTAAATCTTTTATAAGGCATTGTGTTCCGTAAAATTGCAATGCCTGTTTCAATTTCCAGTAGCCCAGAAATCGTGCGTATTTTTTATGTGACAATTTATGCAAGCCGCACAGATGTAAAAGCCCGAAAAGTGCTCTAATTTCCATATCATTTGTCGTTTTGGCATCCCGATTTCTGGTGTAATTTACTGATATTTCTTCATATAAATATTTGTACACTCTATAATGGATTGTATCATTTTAGCATTGAGAAACAATTCCTAACTTTCTAGAGGTTCCGTTATATTGCGTGCAGTTCCTTTTGATCCTGGTAAATGAGTTATTATAATTTGAGATGACGTTTTCACTTTTTGATCTGGTTTTCATTTCTGCCAAACTCTTATTTTGGCTAATAAAAATACTTTTTACTAAATCGAGATTTCCGTCGTCTTCATCCTTCTGCTCAAATTTACTTTCGCTGTCGTGAGAACTGTATATTTCTTCATCAGATTTAATTTTCACTATCTTGATCAATTTCTTCTTCAGAAGACTCAACTTCATCTAATACAGTTTCTCAAACGTTCCATCTCTTTTTCATGTTCGGTAATTTACGTTTGTAAACATTATCTATCAAATAATCCACAGAACCACAACGGCAACACTCGAGAGCACGAAGCTAAACTTCTACTAATGAAAATTTCGAAGCAGTAACGGTCACACGGGGTGACTCAGTCACCCCATCCCTCATGGATTCCAAGAAACGATTGCTTCTCTCGCAGAAAAAGAAAAACAAGCAAAAATACAATACACATTCCAAGGGGAGTGTCAAACAGGAGGATACTAAAAGTATGATTCATTAAAATGAAATATTTCCAGTTAGGATTGTTGATTTTTGACGCATGGGGTGACTCTGTGCCCCGCGCGACTTCTCCCGGGTTAACAAGTATTTTTAGTTAAATGCACATAATGTACTTTAAAAAAAAGTCAGATTTGAAAAAAGATACAAAATTAATTCACTGCATAAATGGTTGCAGATTTATTTTTAAATTTCAGAAATTATTCTGGTACATTTGCTAACAAAAATAGAAGCTCACTGAGGAAATAATAAATGGAAGTTTATGCTATGAGGAAATTTATCATTTCAAGATATTCATTAGAGATTTAGAAATTTAAATCTTCGGAATAAATATGCTTCCATTTTTGTGAGCAGAACCACACTTAAAGAAAATTTTTCATAAAATCCAAATTTTAGATCAAACATAAAAACTTTAAAAATGATCTTCTGCAAGACATGGTTTTGATTTTCAGACTACTATATTTTTGCATGCAATATATGAAGTTATTTTTCAGTATAAAATATAAATTTGCTTCAGATATAAAACAATGAAAATGTTATTTAAAAAACTGAAAATGATTGACTTTCCAGATTCACCAAGTTAGTTATTTGGTATTGTACATGAGATTAAGAAATGGCTTTCTTAATATGCCTAAATTTAAAAATATACTGCTAAATTACATATTTTATCATTAATGATAAAATTTGTTGTTTAGCATTTTTTAACCATTATTTTAATCATTTTTAAACAACAAAAGCTCAAGTATAGTGAATGCAGATGCATTTTTTTAGAAACTACAGTAAATTTATAATCTACCAAATACAATTTGTAACATAATAAATCTTCCAGACATTATGTAATCGTCTTCTAAAAGGCTAAAATATAAGCACTTGATGCGAAATCATGAAAAGTATGAAAGGGAAAAAATATAAAAATAGCTCAATGAAAATTGTTAATTTCTAACATTTTAATAATACAGCTTTCTACAGATTTTATTATAACTCAAATAATGTAACGTATGACGAGTTGCACGTTCAAATACAGATATAAGAAACCTTGAGTACAGTTATCTTTAAAGCAAGAAAATTGGTATTTTTCTTTAAATGGTTACTTAAATGACTGAATAGCACACTTTTCAGAATTTTAAAACTTTAGGATAGTTTTATTTCTAAGTGCCACATTTTGTACATTAATGATTGTCTAGCAAAGAATACTATAACTACAAATCGGCATTTCTGGTGTGTCTGAATTTGAGTAATTGGATATGTTAACTAAATATAAATACATGGAAACTAACCAAATATAAAATTTACTTCATTTAAAGATGACACTGGTGAAATTTAAAAATGAGTTTTGATACATTTCATCAACAGTTGTTATATACAAAATTTAAATAAACATTACATTTCAGTGCTTTTCTAAAAGCATCACTAATAATTCATTGAGATTTGTTGTAACTTTGCGAGGATCATCAACTAAACCTGCAGAAACCATTGCAGCATCAAAAACCTGAAGGAAAGAAGGGAAAAGAAAACTTTCATTTAAATCTACATGTTACCTAAAAGTTCACAAATTTTTTTAACGATATTTATTAACTTTCATTAATTTAAATTGAACTGTCTCTTCTTCAAAGGGCAAATGATACAATAATAAAATAGAACTTCAAAATATGCGTGAAATTCAACAAATACTTAAATATTCTCAAAAACAAAGTAAAAAAACTGATTTTTTTTTAAAGAAATAAACACATGCAATGTGCATGAAATTGATAGTTTGGATTAACCGTGTTTTTCAGTGATTCATGGCCTGCTTGTTTGGCATTAGCCTGGATAATCAAAAGTAAACTGTATTTCAACATCCTTTTTCTGCCAATCTGCAATTATCTTTCTTAAAATGCTGCATTATTAAAGATTTAAATGGCACTGAAGATGTACCGAAATGCAAAAGTAAAGATGAGAATTCAAGTTCTGAAAGCAAAGATGTTGAAAGTCATAGTGTACCTGAAGAGGATTCTCAATAAATTGGTACTTTATTATTTAAATTAGTATCTATTTAAGTAAATGCTGCTTATTATTGAAAAATAGCAAGAATTATTTGTAATCATATATCATGAAGATAGTATGTTCATACAAAGAAAACAGGATAATGCAACAGTCAGCTGTTTGCAGATGCATCTGAAGAATGTTCAAAAATCGCTTGATCTACTTCATGACAATAAAAGCAGACTGAGCATCAGTATTATGTCTCGTATTATTTTCAGCAATTATTATGTTTCTGCTTGTTGTCACCTAATGATCAAATACAGATGGAAACTCCAATGCAACAACATATGTACTTCTTGCTGGATTAGACACCAAAAGTTTAAATTTGTACTAGAAAAAGATTCCTTAAATCCTCATATCCACTACTATTAAATTGGATAATGCTCAACTTAGTAGAATACATTGTTGATGACACCATATACAACTAACACACTAAGCAGCAAAAGTTTCAAATCATCAGAACTAATGCTTCTTTTTTCAGGTCTTTACCTACTTGCCATATTTAACCTACACATGGTATTTCATCCACAGATCCTAATGAGTATGAATGTCTTTTTAGAAGATTAGTGGCAGGATCACATGAGTGCAATGTGTTACTTTTATATTTTCACAAGCTACTTTATTTTTTATAATTTAGCATTGCCTTCTAGAGTCTTATCTTTAGATAAAATTTAACTTGTTATACCATTCTAAGAATATAAAATATACTCTTAAATTTAAGAAATAACACAGTTGTTCCATCTACATTTACTTTTCTTGTAAAAATTTGTCAAAATTAAAAAACCAAAAATTACATAAAACATACTTGATGAGCTAAAAGTTCAGCCAGCTTCGGATTACTATTTTGTAACATACTCATCTTCTTAATTATAGGATGACTGGAAGTAAACACATAATTAGAATACTCATTTTTAAAATCAGAAACATTAAGAATAATATTTTTTAAGGAAAAAATAATACTTGCAAACAGATTTAATATTTTACCTTTCCAAACTGCAATTTCATTTTACAATATTTTATACCATAAATTAAATACATAGATTAAATTACCATTTATATGAGACAGGATGTTTCAAAAAGATTTTTCTTGCTTGAAAAACCTTTTTCTTACAATATACATATTTCTTACAAAAATATTTCATACATCATCTGACTGGGAAAAGACCAAAGATTGCTGTGTCAGGCATTCTATGTGTACTTTCACATAAATCAACTTACAAAAATAATATCATGCCACAGAGGTTACTAGCTACTTATCAGTTAAAAATACACTGTTGCAAACATTTGTTGAGGAAGTTTAGTACTCTATAAGTATAGGTAATCTGAATTTTGCAAGCAGGAAAACCTTGGCTAGCAAATTATTTTTCAACATTTAAGTATATTATTGACATAAAACTCAATAAAATCTTCATGATAAAGTTCTTAAATCTGAGTTTTACACTCTTCTCTTAAAAAGCAAAAATAACTTAATGAACACTGATAACAGAATGCAAAGTTATTTATATACTACTTTTTGATTTAATAACAGTCACATGTTTTGATATCCAGTTAGTGAGATATCCAGTTAATAATAGAAGAGCCAATTTATCAAAGACTAAAAAATATTGAGGAAAAACTTTCTGAACAACAAAAGTAGATTTATCTTCAGTTGGAGGTATGAGTATAGCAAAATATTCATTTGGGACAGTTATATGAGCAGTAATCTTCGAGTACGATAATTTGTAATAATAAAGTAAAAACATTTATTGCCCAAAATGTCAAACTGTTGTCAATGCCAATCTCTAATAAAGATCAACTGAAGATTTTTAAATAATGAAAGAAGTTTAAGTAGTTTCTAACATCTTATAGTGCAAACACTAATTCTTATCTGCAGATAGAACAAATATATATATATATATATATATAATATATATATATAATTTTTTAATTTAAATTGTTACTTGTACCTTTGAATAGAAAAATAAAACTTGATTAAATTTTTATACAACTTTTAAAAGTAGCAGATTTTATTTTGAAATTTTGTTCACAGATTTGCAACTTTTTTAAATTCCTACTATTAGCTCACTAATAATCTCAGTGGTGTAACCATAGACCTGTTATACACTAGACGGAGCATAGCCATTCAAAACCGGGTGAAAAAGTGGCACAGGAATGAGCTGCAGGAGTTTGGGCGTGAAATGGAACTGAATCCAGACTTTGGCGTACTATCGCCATGGCTGGCGATTTTTTTCTCTCAGTTCGAAATGCAAACTTGGAAAGACGTCATTTCGCAGAAGCTGCCGTTGAATTTGCAGAAGAGGTTAGATCGATAAACACCAGCCAAAATTAATATTTCCCTAAAATTGAACACTTCATTTTAAAATTTAACTTTATTTTAAATTTAAATTTTTTTAATTTAACTAATTTTCATGCTGTAGAATATATTTTTGCAATATGTCCATCGGCGTCTACCAAATTTAAAATAAAATTAAAAAAACTGGAGATAAATAATAAATAATAAATAATAATAAATAATAGCAAACTAAAAATAATAAGTAAAATAAATAAATAAAAAAGAAGCTTTTATACTCAGGACATAAAAAATAAAAAATAATAACATAATGAGTGAAAACAAATAGTAACAAAAAAAAATAGTACAAAAAAGGAAATTTAATATTAATACGAAAGGAAATTTAATGTTACGAAAAGGAAATTAATGTTAAGTGTATTACAGAGAACTACAGAGTAGGCAAATCAAAGTGAGAAAGATATTAAATAAAATGAACTAAAAATGAATGTCAATATAGCAGATATAAGTTAAAGGAAGAGAGAGAGTGGTAAAAAATTAAACAAAAATGGTAAATTAAGACTTCCTTTTACTAGCAATATAATATATATTTATGCACTTACACAATGTAGTCGCACTTATTTTAAATAATTTTAGAAGGTAAAATTAAATAATGTTCATTATTTTTTAAAAGAACTTAAAACTATTAAAGTTTTGAAATTTAAACTGCTATATAATTGCTATTTTCTTAATACTTAACAAATTATTATATTTGAATAAATGCCAGAAACATGATATAAGAAAGAAAATACGTGATTGAAGGTAAACAAATTTGTTATATTTGGATGCAAGAAAAGAGATAAATAAAGTCATTCATGTCCCCCCCCTAAAAAACATAATTTTATGCAGTTCTTACACAGTGTTACATCAACATTACCAAGTATTAAATACATACATTACTACTTCGCACATGTCCGCATGAGCAAACGCAAAGAATATATAAACAAACGCATTCAAGCAGTCTGTTGGCGTATAAAAATGTCGCCAAAGCAGAATACTAGACTAATTAAAATTATATTGTATTACTAAAATTTAACATTTTTTTCAGAAAACAGTTATTAGAAACATACATATATATTAAGATACTTTTATTTAAATGTTATTTCAAGTATGCATATATTATATAAAATTAGAAAATCTATTTTTTATTAGAAAACCAAGTAGAGTGGATAAAAAACCTCTACAGTTTATAAATTAGGTTTTAAAACATTAGAAAAAGCTCAGTTGTGAAATTTTACCCTCCATCTTTCACATATCTGGAATTACATCATATGCGGAGCACGAAAGTATCATTTTTGAAGTCCGAAACAATGCGCTTACACGCAAAACACTTGCTTCTCACAAATTCTCCATAGAACTGTAATGGTAAGAAAGATTCGCGGGAAATACGATCTGGGAAATGTACCAAATGTCACATGGTTCGTATTCCTGTTCCCCTTCAGGATTGCCGTTTCTCTCTCTAGTACATAACAGCTCTATGGGTGTAACAGCCCTAATGGGCCAAGGCCTGCAGGGCCCGAAATCTGCTTTCTTGTCCGTGGGCCCCGGGATGCATAAGCATATGCCCTGAACAAGTAATCAGCTTGTCGCAGAACCCCCCCCACCCCAGTGTTTAGTCCTCAAGCGAACTTGGTATTCATTTTATTGACCTAAGTGATGGAAATCAAGGGATGAAAGGCTGAGTCGACCTTGTCCAGCCTGGAAATTGAACCCCGGCCCCCCCCCCCCCCCCCCCCCCCCCCCCCCCCCCCCCCCCCCCCCCCCCCTCCCCCCCCCCCCCCCCCCCCCCCCCCCCCCCCCCCCCCCCCCACCCCCCCCCCCCCCCCCCCCCCCCCCCCCCCCCCCCCCCCCCCCCCCCCCCCCCCCCCCCCCCCCCCCCCCCCCCCCCCCCCCCCCCCCCCCCCCCCCCCCAAACCCCCCCCCCCCCCCCCCCCCCCCCCCACCCCCCCCCGTAGGAATTAATTTTATATATAATATTATATATACTGTTCTTAAACCCCCCATGTGCTTTTGGGTATGTCCACAGTAAATTACAATTCTATACTCCCTTCTACTGGGAATGACAATCAAATTGCATTTTTTCATGTCTCGAAAGCCAAATTAGGAATATATTAGATTTATAATAGCATTGTTCTAGCATAGATATTTGACACAAAATCAGACTTTTTCTGAAATAACATACAATTTTTTTCCATATTTTGATTCTACGACTCAAATTATGCCTTATTAAATTTTATGGAAATTCAAAAATTCATCTTGGCACACTTTTTTTCAGTTTTTGCCATTATTCAGTTGTCTTAATATGTGGCAACCATTATTATGCTGGAATGGAAAAAAGTGCATGAGTGGAAAAAAAATTACATCTTTTCTACTTCCAGGTGTCTAAACCAAGATGTTCTATCGCTTTCAACAATATTTTCAAAACTACGTAAGTATATCTTTGGATCTGTAATTTTTAAGGTCATTAAAAATTTTTTTTGAAAATTTATAAAAATTATTTAAAATTACAAATTTTAAAATAAATCATAAAAAAGGGGGAATTTTATTTGGAATAAACCTAAATTTCGAAACGATGTGAAAGAAGAATGAAAAATTTAATAAAAAGAGATATTAATAAATATATACCAAACTCAATTAACATCGAGGAGCTAAAATTTTGAGAGCTAATTTTTTAAAAACTATGCATGTGATTTTTACAAAACTTGTAAATTTGGGATAATCTGAGTCATAGACCCGAAATATGGAAAAAAATTGGTATGCTATTTCAGAAAATGTTCGATTTTGTGTCAAAATACCTATATTAGAACAATGCTATATACAAATCTAATACATATCCTAAGTCGCGCTTTCGAGACATGAAAAATGCAAGTTGCCCAGTAAAGGGAGATAAAGAACTGTCGCCCCCCCTTTTTTTGCACAGTGTACATTTAAGAATATCAGTTCTTTCATACTGAAAAATCAAAAAATTGCAACTACAAATGACACTGCAAATGTATCACATCTTCTTGGAAAAAAATCATTGGTCTTCAAAATTAAGATAATTATAGCGTTTGGTCAATTATTTCCAGAACTGATGGACAGATTTGAATAAAATTAATTTAATGATTTTAAGGAAGACACAGACTGATATAATGCAAGTCATACAATAGGTCATAGTACACATTCGAGATGGGCAAAACCCCTATTTTATAGGATCAGTTTAGAACCATTAACTTACTGAACAACAAGAGTTCTTGAGCTCAAAAAGAGCTCTTGGTGCCAAAAAAGAGCAGTAACTCGTTTTTGGCAAATCAGGGATTCATTCACCCAAAAAAGTAACTCAGATCTTTGAATCAGTTTATGAACTGATAATATATTTCTTGAACATAAGCATGATCGTGCAAAGCTCTTCAGTATAAGAAAGTTTAACAATGAAGAAGACTAATATGGGCATATTTCCCTATAACACTCATACAGCTCTCACAACATCAGTTCATAGTGAAAATGTGGCAGTTTGTGTCTCTGAGGCAGTAGGTTTCAATCCTGCAGGAATGCAGTTTTCAAATCTTGAAG